GGTCCTTGAGGGATGATGGTCCTTGAGGGATGATGGTCCTTGAGGGATGGCGGTCCTTGAGGGATGATGGTCCTTGAGGGATGGTGGTCCTTGAGGGATGGCGGTCTTTGAGGGATGATGGTCCTTGAGGAATGCCGGCCCAGAAGGCCTTCATGTCCCGGAAGTAACCATGTCCTGAAGGTCGCTATGTCCTGCAGGTCACCGTGTACTGACGGCCAACAGGTCCTGAAGGCTATCCGTGACCCAAGTAAGGGCCAGCGTCTAGATAACCAATAGATAGACATCATCTGCCTGCGGTATTCTTCCTGCAACACTCTTCCTTTTCTGCGACTCATCTTCTGCACTCCTGAAATGTCGCAGTTGGACCAATTTCCGATACTCGAAATCGCTAGCTATCTAGATAGGTTCTATTCTCATCGCCAATATCTGAGTCCAATGTACAGTATCGGTATTTGCTAGATATATCGCGGATATCGTTGTCGGCTTTCCTAATTGGGTATACCGTCGTCTACATATGGTCCATGGACTGGATCCGATGGAGGATATCGTACGGCACAGGACACCGTGATCAACTTTGTCCACCCGTGATCCATAGACTGGATCCGATCAGGGCAGTCTGGCAGACAAAGGCGGCATTCTACCTATTCCTGGGTGGGCCGTGGATTGGATCCGATGGAGCCTGGGGCTTGCCCCCAAAACACCGAAGCTACGCTTTTACCCCCCGTGAATATCCTATCCACGGCCCCTAGTTACTGTGGTGTACAGTGTGAGAGTGTTGCTGTCCAATTACGTGACATATTGCTTGACATTATCACGTGAGGTAGTGGGCTTGGCACTGTCGTAGCTTGCACGAGTCGGTGGTAATCACTTTTGGGCGCTACCCGTCAGCCGGTGATTGGTACACTACAGTAGTAAAGAGGGTTGCAGTCGTTCCCGAAACCACCCTCCCCTTTGCGGACACATTGTAACTTTCTCACGCCAGAAGCTAACGGAATAAGTGGGCCACGCTTGCCGCATCTGCAACTGTCTTGTCTAATCCAACTACGAATCAGCGACGAGCAAGATTTCCGTACGGTGCGAGTCCGTGAGGGCAAACGTACACTGGAGCGGCATGCGGTCGAGTGAACCTTCGACCGGGCACTTCGATTTGTTACGAAGGAGGCTGCGAAGAAGACCACGTGATTTTAGACGTTCTTGGCATGCCAAGCCAAACACTTTTCCTGTTCAATTGAGGCGTTTCTGACTTCTAAGTGTCTCACTCACAACGTATTGCGCTCAATTGCTTCTGCTATATGACAATTCGGAAGCGAATTCCCAGACATGTGACCAATTCCCAAAACTCTTTAATTGGCCACTATACTATTGATTAGCATCTTCAACCGACAGGATGATGGAAGTTTTACCGCCCGATCCTTTGGCTTTCACAGGACCATTCCCCCTCGCCGATCTAGCGCCGCAATATATGGCGCGAGAACAAATCGAATCTGTGGTCGCGCACGCCCCGAAGCTCTTTCAGGCCGGTGGAGACTTGCCGGACGATGGAGATATTCCTGCAAAGGCTGTTGATTGCTCGCGTTTCGAACCGTGCTGTCGTCAAATACGGTACCCAGATTTCCCTGGGTGAAGGCCGAACTATGATGAAAGTTCAACAACAAGTCCAGATATCTATGCCTGAGGTCTATGATTGTTGGACTTCCCAGCAGCATACAGACAGTCAAGCTAACGAGTCTGTCTATATTGTCATGCAATATATACCTGGGAAAATCCTAGCTCAGACAATCGAGGATTTGGACGAAGAGCAAACCCGGGATCTCGCCGACCAGCTAACACGCATACTTAACACACTCCACACAATTCATCACACAGTACCGGGCCCAGTGGATGGCGGTCGTGCAATGGCACCACGACTCTTCACAAGTAGTGGTGCAGGCCCATTTTACTCCATTCAAGATCTCATTGATTGGTTCAATGAGTGTTTAAAGCTATGTCACTTTTTTGGCAGGGCAAGTAAGCAGCAACGCTTCGAAGAAGACATCAAAGATTTAGTTATGTGTCACATGGACGTTCATCTTCATAATCTTCTGGTCGACGACTCGGGCAAGCTCTGGTTGATAGACTGGGACTGTGCGGGATTTTATCCAGAGTTCTTCGAGTATGTCTGCTTAAAGGGCTACGCAGAATTCATGCCGATAGGCATGAAGAGCGCAGCAGGTGCAAAATTCCTTCAAACCGTGGTTGATTCGATGGAGACGTTGGAGGCCCGGAGAATGAATGCCAAATTCAACGCAATTGGTTATGCTCTCAGAAAATGATTTGCACGATATGAGCGACACATTGATATTGCTTCTAGTCAATACGCATACAGTAACACGAATGCACAACTAGAAACTAGCTTCGGCTTCGGGCCAATTTGACTAACAGTCAAGGCGAGGACGGGCAATGAGATCTGGAGGAGACCTTTGATCAGCACTAACCCCGAGGTTGCCATCTAATGCGCTATGAGGTAAGACAAGTGCTAGATCCATACTTATATCCTGCCACTGTATCTCCTGCGGGAGGTCTTGAACATTGTCCGCCGAGGTCTCCGATATTGTTGGGGACATGTCTTGTGCCTAGGAATACTCGCTGTCAGTGTCAGATGCACCCTGCTCTGAAACCAGCGGGATGCCCGTCTACAATTCGCGTGCGGCAAACCCTGCTGCATTTGGCGCCTAAATAGACGGTGTTTCGTGCTTCGAATGTCAAACAGTAGGGGTTATTTTGGGAATCGGCGTATCGCTCTGCCAGGCTTTCGAGCTGATGCCATGTCATCGCATAACCGCAAGGTACATAAGCCTCGCCTTGCCATTCCCATGGCAGGATACAACACTCCCTGGATCACACTATCAGGTTGTCCATATCGCTAGGGCTTCCCTACCAATCCAATCCACTGCTCCATCCCGTCCACCAGTATTTACTCCTCGAGTCCCTGCGCGTCAGCTTTTAGCATGCCTCCAAAACTAGCCTCGACCCCAGCCGGTATCATATGGAACCCTCCCCAACTTCGGCAGACTCACGAAAATGCTGTAGTCCGAAAGATCTACTTCGTATGCTATCCCCCACATGATATCGATGACCCGCCCACCAAGTATACCTATTCCAAGACTTTCACGAAACCATTAATGGTGAGGCACATGGTGATCTTAGGACTAGCGCAACGCGGTTACTAGTGTTGCCAAATGGACTAAAATGATTGCATTTTTGGCTCTGCTTTTCCTCCATCCTGTTGAAGGACTGGGGTTTCTATTTATCTGCTATCTAGGCTGTGGAATGCAGCCTGTTCCAGCGCTGCAACTTGAGATTTTTCCACTACAGGAATGGTCGCAACTGATATCGCAAGGCTACGAGGCTGGTTTGGCGGCGACGAGGTGGGGTGAGTAAGTGGAATTGCTGCAATTGGTGTAACAGGTTTGGCAAGGCTGTCACAGCAGTCCAGCAGGAACCCCTAGATGATCACCACAGTACTATCCTCGATACCTTGAATGAAGTCCACCTCCGCTCCTCGCTCCAGGCTAAAGCTGCCGACCCTCTCATACATTTCCGAGATATCCCATCGCTTCCGGAGAACCAGTCCACGGCACGGCACTCCGTTAGACCCGCAACTTAGTTCTCCGACGAATAAACAGAACAAATTCTCGTCTCGACTCGGGGCAAACTCGAAGTCAAGCAATACGGTGAGCTTCCTCGAGCCATGCTTGACACCTAGGGGCGTAACATGGCACACATTAAGAGATTCGAGGTATTCATCAGGGGCCATTTCCAACATAGGTGCCACGATCTTAACGTAGCCGTCTGAAATAGCACCGAGGGGATCCTTCCCCTTTTGTGTGCAACTCGCTTCTACAATTCTGGCGTAAGTTTTAGTCAGCTTAGTATCGTCGTCTAGGAATCCACCGGTACGAAAGTGAGGAGATATGTAGCTATTGTCCACGCGGACAGAAGCCCAGGACCACGACGGTGCCCGGTATGGGGTGGCGCGGGAACAATGCTGCGATCCTTCCCACAAGAGTCCCAGCAGCAAATCGTCGAGCCAAAGGCCTGCGAGGTAAGTCCCGGCGCCGGCGTCCTGAAACCGTCGGGCTAGGCCCGAGAGGCATGGTAGAATATCGCCAGGTTTGGTGATGTTCCGGTTCGTGACCTCCTCCACTACCTTGTACCAAGTTTTGAAATTTTTGACAGACCAATGAGAAGTCATCAGCATCGGTTTTTGGTTTATGGCGAAAGGGGAATATTGTCCGTCCAGTTCCATGCACTCGCAGAGCAGTGCAGAGTTACATTCCCAAATCATCTCCCTCTTCGCAAAATGAATCATTCTGGACGCTAACATCTGCTCTTGCATGGTCCAGGCTCTCTTCGAGAGCGGCTCTGGGGGGCCGTTCTTGAATATGGGGCAAGGATTTTCGTGAAACATCATCGGCCGAGCATATATCAAAGATTCTTCGCTGTCGATGGCGGCTATAAGCACCCCTTGGTCGAAGTAATGACCGCCCGATTCGGTCTTTAGGAACCCATTATGCGAATCTAGTGACATATCTGCGCCGATGACGGTATATGCGTTTTGGTAGACGGCGGTCATATTTCCTGATTCCCCTTCCCAGTCTTGCGCGTCGTCTTGGATGATACAGAGTGCATCGATCCAGAGGTATCTGAGCCCAAGGTCCCTTGTAACGGTGACGGCATCTTGGAATGTCTTTGGTAGATCAGAATAGAGGATCTGCTTCTGCCGGGCCGCGATGCTATCCCTTGTCGTCCTTATTTCAATGTCACCACCCCAGCAGTGGCTAAGAGCCGTGTAGAGTCCTCTCTGGCCCGCCGTGACCCTCAGCCGTATCGAATTCGATTCGAAGGGACCGACATCAAGAAGGCGAGTCGGTAAGGGCACGTCCGTATTTGACGGGTAGGCAGGGTGGTCCTCGCGACATAGCCTCAGCCATTCGGTCACGATAGATGCATAGCTCCGTCTTCGACTATCGACTTCACGGCCCACGCCAACAATTGGCCATGAAGTCGTGGCCTGGCCAGCCCTTGTGTAAAGGAGAACATTCAGGCGGCCGTCGAATTTGCCGCTGGGCCAGAACTGGACGATATTCATTAAAGGGCATTGTAGTGTAGAAATGTTAATAATCGGGTGATGAGATGATGCAAATTCTTCCCCTAGTGTTCTGACAATGCCGAGATGGCGAAGATGGCAAGTGCGGCAGCCCGCTGCGGCACACGCGCTCAGGCTCCGAAAAGATGTGCTGCTGCCATTGTGATTCTTACATGACACTAAGGACTCTGGTGGGGGAACGGATGAAAAGCGGACTGCAGAGTGGACGTGTTGAGTGGAGCTACCTTCCATTTACCGAAGACCTAGGCTTCTTTACTTCGATATAAAGATGGCCGGACTTACAGTACGGACTATCGTTAACAATACCAAGACGAAATCTACTGGTTCAGTGATTAGCGGTTAGTGTGCACTCAACTATTATAGACTCGTTTCAGTGTAATGCACTCCAGTCCTTGGCTTTGAATTGGAGAAAGTTGCAACAACGTGTTCTGGTGGGCAGGGAGGTTTCGGGAGTGGCCGTAATATTACCAGAGCCGTTACGGTTTCAGACATGTGGAGGTAAAATCAGATCACTTGTGATTCGTAGTTGGATTAGTTGAACTATAACAGATCCGGAAAGCGCAACTCACTTATATCCTTAGCTTATAGTAGAAGAAAGTTGCAATGTGTCAGCAAAGGGGAGGGCGGTTTCGTGAACCACTGTACCATTCCAGAATGACCCTTTAGGCGCCCTCTTTTTGGGAACGCCCTTTTGGAGCGTCATCTTTTTGGGAGCACACTCAGAGGAAAGATTCCATGTAGAGTAGAGGTTCCAATTAGGCTCCAGTAGAAGATGTCCAGTGAAAGGGATCCCAAAATTGTGCTCCCTCCAATAGAGTGTTCCCTCCAATATTGTGTTCCTTCCGACATTGTATGCCCCCCAATATTATGTCCCCTCCAATATTATACACTCTCCAATATTGTGTCCCCTCCAACAATAATGGACAGGTTCCAATAATGGAGGAATCCCACGTCATTGATCGTATTGACTGTCTGGGTCGCAAGTCTCTTTACAACAATCTCCTCACCATCAAGTTCAGCGTACCTTTCGCGCGCACCAGAGATCTAGGGGCCATGGTCACCGCGTTTTCTTTCCTTCCTGACTGTCGTAGGCGAGGGCCATATAGTATGCCACACGATGGGTCAGAAGAGCAACGACTCCCGTGTGGTGGAACGACGAATGATGTAATCTGTAGCAAGCGCTTATCTGAGGGATGAGGTTTGTAGGGTGCCGCTCGTCATGACTTCGTGGTGCTGAGTATGTTTAGCCGAACACAATCAGACGTGATTGTCTCTTTAGTGGGTTAACTGCGCATGAATGTGTTGCGATGAACTCGTCCTGCTGAAAATCTCCTTCTTTCCCCATCCGCAAACGCCTATAGTTTTGTTAGCGCTTGCTGCTGGCCACTTGTCAAGTGCATCCCTAGACGAATCTGAACTTTAACGTGGTAGCAATACCAGAATCCCGAACAGGACGCCATTGCCATACGGACATGACTAGGCTCGATCCGCCGTGATGAGAAGTCTTCATAATATCACCTTTGGTATAAAATGGATTCGCAGTAACAACGTGGAGGATTTTAACCTATACGAGCAGTTCAGAATGGCTTCTACCGTGTTTTGTTGTGCGGTTTTCCTTCGAGGGGGATGCCCAGCTTTACCTGCATCCAACTAGGACTAGAGTGCCAGGAGTACTCGCGAAACTCAACGGGGGGTGTGATGGTAATGAACGCGCTATTGAACAGCGCCTAACGAAGGAGGAAGGTAAAGCGGGGCGCGCTGATTGGCCGTAGCAGTCACATTCTCGGCGTTGCGATTGGTTAGAATATAAATGGGACACACACACACACACACACACACACACACACACGCGCGCGCGCGCGTAAAAAAAACATTTCTGGAAAAAAAAAAGGCCCCCTCCTATAGTCCATCTCTGACGAACTCATAAATGGGGCGCCGCAGCCAGTGAAAGCTTCAGCCAGACAAGTTCAACTGAAGAAGAGTTTGAACTCCCAACGGTATGAACAAGACGACATCATCAACAATCACTGGCTGGAGCATTACGTTTACCCATCTAGGGCACCTAGAAAACTAGGCCGGACAACCCTCTTACCTTACCTATGATCGAACACTAGTAAGGCCCCTCAATTCTATCGGTTCGACTGCAAGCGAGTGTTTTACCACTCGGTTACGTCCTTGATAGGTCAACCACGATTTGGTGTCAATTTTGAAGCGGTTTTTGCCGGAATAAAATATAAACCTGAATTTTTTTTGGTTCGTTTTTTAATTTTGGAATCACCTCGTTATGGCTTGGCGTTGTGTGTTGGCGCCAAGACTGTCGTGTTAGTCGGTCGATGGCTTGGCAGTGTCACGTGATCAAGTGGCACTCCCCCTTGCCGCACCGTCATCAGATCCAATCCGTGGACCATGTGGCCAGGAGGGCACCCTACTCGATAGAGGTCGATATCGAGATGGGCCACGTACATATCGGATCCAGTCTGTGGACCAGCCAGAGAAGCTCTACTAATCACACTCGATATGCTTTGTAACCGAGCGTGAACGGACAAGCCCCGACGTCGAGATGATCCACGGATTGGATCCGATCATCTTGGGAAAAAAGTGGGGCTATCCCAAATATCCAAATAAGATCCAAATCGATCAAATCAAATCAAATCGATCCTTTTCGAGTCCAAATCAAATCAAATTCGAGGCTCGATTAAGCCTGATATAAAGTAGATCTTGTAACCCCCTCGCTCAAGTAAGTTCTCATTTCATTCAAGCAGCTTAACCCTTCATCCCAATGATTGGACTTCATTCATACAAGCTATCGTCCATCGATATATCACCCAACTTAGGGACCACATAGCCGCTTGTGTCTAGGGCCTGAGAGATGTGAGAAGAGGATAGACGCTCCCCTTTCCCGTTGGCCAAGTCGTTCGCCGTGGAGATAGTATTTCTAATCTGTAAGTCGTCATTAAAATGATACCCTCGCTCGCTCGGGTCATTTACCTGGCGACCGTTGAGCGGGACACAAGCAAAACGGTCCATGTATTCTGTGCTGATACCTGGGAACCCCGCGCCTTCGTCTATTGCCTTCAAGAACTGAGTAATTATGTTCTTTCTCGCACCTTTATCGAGGTCGTCATATTTCAACTTCAGGTGGATCCTGTTCAGAATAGCGGCATCGAAGTCATTAAGTAGGTTAGTAGTTAGGAAAAAGACTCCATCATAGAACTCCAATTTGCGAAGGAAGACCGCTACAAGGCAGTTCCGGTCGAGACTGAGCCGGGAACGCTCTTGCAGGAATACATCCATTAAGAGGAGTGCATTCCATGCTTTTGCCGTCCGAAAGATACGATCAAGCTGCTCTTCCAGTTCTGCTGCATTTAAGCTTAATTCCCCTGCCGAAATCTAGAAAGTCAACGTTTACCCGACACTGCATTGGTGATTTCCACATACCGAGTACAGCGGCCGATGAAAGTGCTCAGAAAGTGCCTCTGCTGCGAACGTCTTTCCTACTCCGGAAGGACCACTAATCTAGGTCAGCACGTTTGAGACAAATGAAAGCCACCAGATCTCACTGTAGGAGTATGTTAATACCACGCCCCTTTCCTTCAACAACGTCGTCAAACGTTGTTGGACGGCCAGGTTGTTTATCTTGAATCGGCTGACCCAAACGGTTCTGGGTAATGGCTAAAATAACCTCTTTCTTATGGGAGGGAATCGTCAGAGTTGCGAAGGGTAAGTCAGACCAATCAATGGGTCGTATATCCTCGACGGCATATTCGCCTATAGCAACACGTCACCTCTGATTTTGTACAGGATGCAAGGCCGTTGATGGAACTTACCCCAGAATTTATCACGCAAACTGAATCCCATTACCGTCGGGGAGCAAAGAAGCCAGTCATCTTCGTGCAGATCCACTGGACCTCATTACCCGCGCGGAGTCCGATTCTGCTGAAGATACAAAGAGGGAAGACAAGTCGACCGTACAGTCTGAGCTTTTAGTGAAGAATCGTGGATAACTCGGAATGCTCTTTCGAAATTGTTCGGCATCAATTATGATCCTCGAGCTGATTGTCTTTCGAATAAGATCATCTTTTCGCTGGAAGAAGGCTTGTCCTCTATAGCTCTGGTGGTGAATTCCCACCAGATTTATGAACTTTTGACCGCGGGCTGCAAGATGTTCCCTCATCTTCTTAGGATTGGGGTGGAACTCGAGGGGGAATGCATTTAAGGTGTTGATCCGTCTGGCTCCACCGAATTTCTCGATAATGAGTTTAGCGTGGACCGTTCCGAACACCTTCCCGTCAAAATCGAGATACTGACAATGCAACTCGAAGTATTTCACACCTTGCTCTGTCTTCTTCTCTTCACCCATCTCGTACCTAAGGCATTTTGGCTTACCACTTCCCGGACAGATCGAAATGATATAATCGTTCGCTTTAAAGAGCGCCCAAAGAAGATCATAAGTGATTTTGCCTTCTTTTAGAAGTGGGTTGAGACGTTCGGCGGTAGCCTTGTATCGGTTCTTAATGGTGTGAATCAACAGATCCAGAGCGTCGATACTATTACGATCAGCGATAGAGCCATTCGCTACCCCAACTCGATATGCTTCGAGCTCAGAGAGGTAGTGAAACAATAAGTTCTGCTCAATCTAGGACTTTTGTTAACCACAGACAGCATACTGCGTTATGCACAATGAGACTGACGGCAGGTTTGTCTTCACCGAGGCTAAGCCATTTGATGTCCTTTAGCACGATTCTCAGAATGTCCCGTAGATCTTCTGACTTGATGTCGACATAGGTCGTGGACTTTAAGCTTGTCCTCTCTATCTCTAATATTAGTTAATGTGACAGTATAGAGGCAGGAATGCTTACCAACGCGAGTACGCACAACAAAGACATATGTATCCAATTCGGTCAACTCAACAGCTGGAGGAGATTCAACAACCTTGTACTCGTACGCCTTGGGGTTCCAACTGTGCGTGGTCGGTCAGGATAGCCGAGCGTTAAGTGTTAGGAGAACTTACACTTCATGGACCTCCTTAACTTCTAGCTTCGAAGCTCGAGAAATTGGTTCAGATTGTTGGGCGTTAGTCTCGGCAGCTGAAGAGGTACCCTTAGGCTCAGATGTCTGAATAGACTTGAGTGCGTCTAAAAATTGTTTGGCAAACTCAAAAGGATTGGGTAGCTGTGTAGTCGGACTGTCTGGGGGAGTATCAGGGTTGTTAGGTCCTGGAAGAGAGGCTTGGACACCCTTGCTCTGCCTCATAACTTTGGATGCTACTGGCATTTTTGCGCTTTAGGTTTCGGGGTGAAGAACGAATCTGAAAGGATGTTAATGGCATTGCCTCTCGAAGAACACATCACCTTTATATACCCATCATCCGTTATAATTATGCAGTAGGCGTGATCATCCACAGACTTCCTCCATATCGGTATATGCTCTATTGAGACATTATAGGGTAAAACTAGCACAGGGGATGTAGTCCACTCAGACACATCAGCCATACACAGATGCCGTTTAGATGTCGTTTAGGTGCTCGCCCTTGCGAGCTACGCTGGCATGCTATGGCTTCGTCAACGTCTGGTGGCACGAAGATGCTGTATGTGTTGGCTCATGCTGCTGCCGTGAACAGAAAATATCCCGTATTTCAGCCACGTATTCCTTTTAAATTGAGAAAAATCGAGTTTGTAGATGAGACGGATACACGAATATCGCTTGCAGCAGCGGCAGAAGAAGTTCAAGGCTGGGCTCCGATTGGTGCGTTGGCACAGAACAAAGGACAACATGAAGAGAAGCTCCGCCAAGAGAAGGGAAATTCACGGCCAGCTCACCCTCCTTTGGGAACGAGGTGATGCCGCCCTGTGCTCACCCTCGGATCCCGTGAGCTGGGTGAGCGATCACCGGCGACTCACCCATTGTGGGGGCCAAAATCTAGCCGCCTTGGCGCAGATGGTGCGACGCCCGGTCCTGCTCACCCCGATGGACCCTACTGTCAACGGCTGTGATTGGCCTTTTCGGTCGGCAGTCGTCGCGCCGACAGCAGTGCTGGGCTGATCCAATGAAAAGGTAGTCTCTCTCAAAAGCGGCGTCGTTGGCTGTACACTTCTGGGTTGGCATCACCTATTGCGCTTTACCAAGAGGGAGAAGGAACTTCTTGGCTGTCGCCGACCACCTACCGTTTACGGCCATTGTTACCGATTCTGCCGCCTCTCCTACGCTCTGGGTAAAAGATATATTGAGGAGACTGCCTCCTCGCTGCTTTCACTGCCGTTAATACTCTTCTTCCTCGGTCCCGTCGCCCTCCCTCACTCAGATTTTTGGTCGACCCGGATTTTCGACACAATCATTTTTCGTGTTATCGACGGAGAGAGCAGCCTAAACCTTATCCCGCTTTGAACGAGCCTTTCCCCCCACTCTCCTTTCGTCTCACAAGTCTTCCGCCTCGCACTTCCACTTTCTTTCACATCTGTCTAGTATTCGATCTGGTCTACGATGGCCTTCTTCATGCCCTGGCGGTTGTGCCCATGACTTATTTACCGACGCCATCGGGCTCGTTTTCGAACTGCAACCGAATGAAACATTCACCTCAAGGTCGACACACGAATCAGCGCAGCTCGATGGGGCGTCGACTTCCTCGACTCCTGCAGGGATCTGCGGTCGCGATGATGTGAGCCAGCCTCTGGGTTCCCAGCCAACATCGCGACGTTTCTCCACTCCTAATCTGCCTCCCCTCGAATCCTCGACAGCGAATTCAACATCGAGGACGGCTTCGACAGACTACACGGCAGCGCTTCCTCTGCACCCTTGTGTGGGTAGAGCGAGGGAAAAGGACACTGGACCGGGGGGAAGACTCATGCTGTGTGCGGTCGAGTGCGAATATTCAGGCAGTTTGCACAGAGATGCTGTTCGGGTCCTAGTTGCGTGTAGCGACGCGGCTCCATGTGGAACTCGGCCAATGCCAGAGGGTGTAGGACTTTCTGACTTCAGAAGCGTCCCGCGTAAGGGCGTTTTGCAGGGGAACAGAAGTCCGAATGTCGACTTCGCTGGCATTAGGCGCAACACTTCACACCGTCGAGCAAGAAATCGAGGGGGCCGACATGCGTAGGTCCACATGACGAGGATCGATGACAGCATTTAAAAGCCGAGTCTCCGCAGCCCGTCGAAATCTGCTTCTTCTACGTCCCTGGACTTTAAAGAGGTTAGAACCGCAGCTTTCATTGATTCACGGGACCGTGGCGTTGAATACTCCGTACACAGCGTGAGGAGTCAGTTTCAGTCGAAATTTATTCTACCCTTGAAATTTTCTAAACAGGGAACCATGTCGGAAACTCTGTGCGGCGAAGACTCTCCACCACCCATCGCCGAATCTAGATCCAGTCCTCTCGTGATTGAAATCCCCGACTTATGTGCGAATTCCATCTACGATATCGATGATCTGATTGACGACGAAGGGGAGGTTATCGATCTTACGGCAATGAAAATACGGTAGGCACTCTTAGCCCCAAGAATGTTCAGAGATCTGACTCTCACAGCGTATACGATTCTCGTCTTCCTACGACGACGAGAGAGATAGGGCGACGAAGAAGCGTCCAGCCCTTTTCGATGATAGTGGTGAGGCAGTTAACGAATCCTCCTATGCGTCATCCTCTGCCAGCAGTGCAAGAACTGGTGACGGCATCGCCGAAAGACCTACGTTAAACGGCGCGCCGCCATGTTTCATGGAAAGCGCAAATTCGATCGAAATCCCTGAAACACTATCAGCGATCGAGCCATCGCACCATTCTACGTCTCCCTTGGTGTTAAGAGTGATGGGGAAATGGCTGGACCCGGAACCGCACCGATATCTTGTCCTGTGTTGGATTGTTCCTGAAGAAGATGAAGAGTCTAATTCGGAACTCAACCGTTGCCTTCATGAGTACGATAAAAAGATCTTGCGAGACTTCATACAAGAGGAATGTTCGTCTCTTTCGAGATCGCGGAAACGCTCGCCGCCAGAGGACGGCCAGAGTTCTAATCAGCACCCTAAGACCCATACGATGGCCTCTGTATCTAAGAATCACCGCTATCCCTCTCGTCAGGTAGAGGAAAATCTCTTCCTCGACGCGGATGTGCGTCTCGCCGACCTCCAAACAGGGGACGGGAACCGGTGTTTATAGAAGAGAAGGGACAGAACATCTTCGAAGAAGTAATGCAAGATCTGAGCGGGCGGTCACATGACAATATTTATATTCACGTGATATGGCAGAACTTCAAGTTTGCCTCTTCCTGTCTTTGAGCGGTTCTTACCCTAGAACCTAACCTTCTCGGATCTTATCTATTAAACAGTAAGGAAGCGGACATGGAGTTGTTCAATAGCAGGAGTTCCACATATTGTCATGAATGACCTTTTACACTAATATCTCCATCCCAATCCCTCGCGATACCGATGAGTACAGCGGCCCCGGTTGTAAAGATCGATTTAATCTAAGTTCCGACAACGCCTTCCGAATCTCCTTTGAGAACTCCCGCTGAGGGTCGTTTCTGTCCTTCTTGCCAACGAGCGAAATCGTCCTGGTATTGACCGACTTCTCGGTTAGAGGATCACGTCGGCAGATGCACGCCCGCCCAAAGTCGTGCCATATCACTCGTTGCTCTTTCGAATCCCACAGCATATTTCGCCGGGCCACATCACGGTGTAAGATCCCTAAGCCATGGATCGCACGCAGCCCTTCGATGGCCGTATCGGTGGCGGCTGGAAGGGAACGAAGGTTGTTTAACGAACATCCTCCAAACGACAAGACCATTATATGCACAATCGGTACCACTCCGATATAATCCAGTGGGTATGCCAGGTCGAAACTCCCCAGATACACAGGCGTGTATATTCCCTGAATAGGTTTGAGGTACCTTTTGTAGATACTTGCCTCTCGTTGGAGATCCGCCACAAATTCACGTCGCGTTCCTTTGGCCACCATGGTATAACCCCAATGGGGCACTCGAATGCGATATAGACACCCTCTCGCCCCGTAGAGGAACAATTCTTCGCAATACTCGAGCTGATGCTGTAGAACGTGCTGTACTAACTGTCGAAATTCCTGGAGACCGATGGCATGTCGCGGACCCGAGCCATGTTGGTGCACGTTGGGACACGAGAAGTCCAAGACCCCCTTCTCCACCAGGCCCTTCAAACACAAGGCTGAACAGTACGGACCTAAGTTTCGTTGTTGATAAGACGTGGTCGACGGGCTACCGCGACTCACGGCACCTCCACGACCAGTCCCTTCACCAGCAACACCTCGCCGAGCAACCGGTGGCGCACGACTGGGGGTCTCGGTGCTGGCCGGCCCGTCGTCGCTGTCTTCATCACTCTCTGCTGACGGGTTTGTTGGTATAGGAGCATCCTCATTCATCTGGAGTTTCCGAGGGCGCAGCCGATGACAAATGGGCGATTCCACCAGAAACCGCGCCGCGTCACCTTGAGGGGGCCGATATTCCGACCCAGGGACGTCTTTCGCGGGAATTTCCTCTTCCAAGTCCTCCGTCATCACCTGCCACGTCTTCAGCTCGATCTCCGCATTCCGTCGCCACTGAAGAGTACGGCGAGGACTTTGAATCGCTCCCAGAGTGAAAGCTAGTAGTTGGCTGACGGCCGTTAAATGCAATCGATTCCCATGGTTCAATTCACCGGTCCACCCCGTTGTCGGTCCCACATCGCCGTGAGGGACGGCCAGGGCATAGTGCACGCGAGAATAGTCGTCCTCGGGGATGCGCAGAAAGATAAAAGCTTCGCCAGTAAAGACGCACCCAAATTCCAACCTCGACGAGATCATGTATGCAAACGCTTGTGTCACCACCGCCGCTACCAGTCGCTGACATCGTCGTTCCACGTCCTCTTCTGGCTGTTCCTGTACAATATCGTCGAGACACGTTTCTCTCAAGCCCGCGTAGATGTGGCCCAATGTCAACTTGTGAGCCGCCTTGTATTCGAAGATCAACACCGGTACCCGGTAGATCGTTTCACCCACCTCATCGAAGACACTATATACACAGAACTGATCGGCGCGAGGTATTGATGTCCGTAATCGGCTGGGCGACGACGACCTAGTGGCTGAGGAGCTTTGTTCGGGACGTCCTCGTGGCTGTGGCTGGGAAATAGTTAAATTCTGAAAGTTCTGCACCGCCTCGTCAGGACTTAGCATATTCCCGTGGTTTTCAAATTTCACGGAACCCTGCAGATTAAGGGTCTGGCGCAGGACCGTGTGCTGAGATAGGTGTTTAATGATCGACGTTACTTGATCATTGATTGCAAATCGAACAAAGTATTGAAGGTCCAACTCTGAACTTAGTTGTCGTTGATGTAGCTGCTCCCCGGTCTCTTTCAGTGTATGTAGAGAAGTGAAGTGTCTTTCTGATATGAAATCCGACTCCATCACTATATCCCACATTCGAGTCTGGTGCGCCGGAAAATCTATCCAAGGAACGATATAATCGGGACGAAGCTTTCGGTCAGCATTCGCAGGAGTTCCTTGGGTTGACTGGTCCTTGTCTTGGACGGTCAATCCTTGGTAGAGGTGGACATGGTATGCATCGAGGAATTCGGCTAAACTTGTACTTCCTGTTCTTTGCTGATAGTATTGTTGCTCTTCTTCTCGTCGACGTTGCTCCGAAATAGCGTGCTCTTCGGCGGCTATACGACGACATTGCTCTTCCTCTCGTAGCCGCTTCTCTTCCTCTCGTAGTCGCTTCTCTTCCTGTCGTAGTCGCCTCTCCTCCTGTCGTAGTTGCTTCTCTTCTTCAAGTTGCCGGCGCAATTGATCAAGTTCGGACGACATCTCCAATCTTCTGTACCATAAGTTATAACAATGGTTACATTGAAGAGCAAATGTAGCTATGGAAGATGTTAAGAACGAGGTTGTTCAGTGGAATATTCAAGCGTGAGAGACTAAGCGTAGGCAACAAATGTTTAGATGTTTACGTCTCAAGAGGAGAGCTGCTTCACTAGCCAATTGCCTGGACAAAAATCTTGTCACGTGCCCGAAAGACAAATTTGAACTCCGGAGAAATCCTGTGGCTGCGGCTGTGGCTCAACAACCAGTCAGACTCGAAGCCCTTCACGCCCAGAGAGCAACGGATATACTTTATGCCTCGTGTCAGTCAGCTACTGGGCCCTCAGGGCCAACGGATCGCAACGCTGTGCCTTTGCACCGGAGTTGTACATCTCCGAAATGAGTCAGAGCCTCGTCAACACGGTGCTGTTCATGGGGTCTGACACCTTCACGCCGAAGAATTGCTTTGGCAGTATTATGGAGTTTCTGCATGGCGGCATTCAGTGAAAGTGACTTGCTACGAGACATTGGAGGCATCAGTTGGATGGTGGAATTTTGTGAGCTTGTCGTTAGGAAGATGATAGAAAAATGTTGCAAATCTGTCAGAAAAATAAACCTCGCTAGACTGTCCTTGGCAGGATGGAATCGCGACTTGGATTAACTGTTGGAAACATTCTCAAATTCCCACCACCATGAACACCACTCCTTTTGTCGTCTTGATTAAAGAGAGCTCTTGACCAAATGGGATTCCAATTGCAACTGCAGCCATGCTCAACCTCTACACCGAAACCACCTTCCAAGTGACTCCCGCCACCAGAGCCTCTGTGGTAGACTACCGAATTCCCCGGCGAAATGGTTCATACGACAGATCCAAGTTCTCCAGCCGCCAGAACGATAGGTCATTCACGAAGAATGAGCAAGCATTCGCCTCACATGTCCTTGCCTCCGAGAGCTCGATCTTCTTCAGGCGGTCCAAGTCCTACCCTCGCACATTTCATTGGAGCATTGTCAATGAAGGAAGAGTCCTGCAGATAAGATGCTCAGATCTGGCTAGGAGTGAGGGCGACGTGAAAGAGGCATACTTTACTCTTCGCTTCGAATTTCAGGACTCGATCATTCCCAGAGGGGCAACTTTTGCTGACTCAGACAATGGCGAGGAGATCCATGTCTTCATTTGCACAACTAAGAACGAACTCTTCCACCTCCGACTGCCTACCACCGCTTTCCGCGATCCGGATGTCCTCCAAACCGAGAATCTCACTCAATGGTGCCAATATCTTGAGAGCTCCGCCCTCGGCATTGACACAGTCCACCGTGTTTATGCTAGCAGCCCGCAAGAGGTCTTCTTGTCGTTCATCAGCGGCATGGTGCAGCGATTACAGCAGCGGTCAAGAGACGGAAGCTGGACGCAAGACAATTACGATGACAGGACCTGGGGGGCATCCCTTCGCGGTATTGTCAGTCGACGTGGTCTCCAGACAATTGAATACGGCGCTATCCAGTTAGACTCAAGAACTGCTCAAGCCATGGCCACCTCCCCAGATGGGAAGTTTCTGTTCACGGTTTGCTTGAATCATACCTTGAGGGTCTGGAATCTCCTCACGGGAAAGGTTGTAGTGACCAACGACTTGTTGGACGCTGTGAGGGATCCAAATGATAGAACACACTTGAATCCCGCCGAGGATGCTCTCCTACAGATCTTCAAGCTTCCCCTTCAGAGATACCCGGTTCTTCTGACGTACACGCCTCAAGATGGAGGCCAATTCAAATTCTGGGACATCAAAGGTGGTACGACCGAACCCCTCTTTATCGAGGACAAATATCCCGGAGTGAAATTGAGTTCTCCGGACCCCGATCCATCAGGAAACACCATGTGGTCTTTGGTGGGGTTCGGACTTAATCCAGGAACCGACTTCAAGCCCGCTCAACTATGGGTCTTGTGGCGGAACCACAACTATCACCAACTTTACAACTGCCAGTTTGAATTCAGTAGCATTGTCAACTCATGGAAGTCAAATTGGATCAAATGTGCTTCAACGTCATCTTCAAAGAATGTCGCTCCAGACCTTGTCAAATCTGACCCTGAAGATCCTGCCTCAAAGTGGCTTGACTTTCTTTTCCATCCGGGCCGCTATTCCGAGGATGGACTGGAAACGGCGTTATCCATTTTTGAAGAGGCGACGGCCGTCAAGTTGCCTAGTTCACAGAGAACTGCTCCCCTGAGACAGAGAATGGGTGCTGTTGTGGCAGCCGGCGTGTCACTCCGCAAATACGGGGACTCTGATTTGGATTTCCAACGGTTCTGCGCTGACACCGACTCCCATTGGCGCAACTTCTACAGAATTGTCGAAACTGTCAATGATGGCCGCAATGCCCCCCTATCATTGGCCTACGATGTGTACACCGAAATGGTATGGATCACCATGGCGGACAAGTGCTGCGCAATCAGAGAGTGCAGTAAAATTGAACTGTTACAACAAAACGAAGTCGAAGATATCGACGACCTTGAAGAAGTCGCTGCTCGAGCATGGACCCACCGTAAAGTTAGCACGGACGATGGAGAATCATTTCGCGACTTGGCGGTACTCATTTCTGCGGCAAGAACATTCAGAGAATCCTTTGGCGCCGACTTTGCCAAAGATCTGATCGTTGCCATAGAAGAGGATATGTCCATTGGTGCCGAATTTGTTACCCCGACAAGAATATATGAGATTTTTGACAGCATCGGATTCTCGGATGCGATTTCCAACGACGTCTTTGAGCGACTTGAGACTGATCTCACCCCGATCGGAGGACTTTCCTCTCTGACCAATGAGTTGTTTCTGGGCGTCCTCGAGTTGCTGGTGGTTAAAAGCAAGAGAACAAAAAGCACACTGCGAAACACCATGTTTGGTAACCTATTGTGGTCTGCCGGCATGGTCGACCTCATATCCTCGCGACGCCAATTACTCATGGACCTGTTGACGTTGGCTATCTTTGTTGAGGGCGAGTTGAATCAGGAAGACGTCAAATTGACAGCGTTCGACGCTTCTGAGCTGTTTCACCACATCACACCCCTCCTCAGACTCTATGATCGAAACCTTTGGTTGGTATCGCATTTTCGGCTCGTGCCAGTGGAGATTATGGGTCCGGATGGGCATCCAAATGCCGCTCGTCAGGCTGCGAAACCGAACCCTGAAAATTATAGGCTCGTCAGCATTTTTGAGGATACGCTGGGTAAAGCCGTTCGCCCGCAGCCTGCTGCCGACAAACCACTCATGTATTCGCTCACTGACCAACTATCTGAAATTGACGACTGGGCATCTGGCAAGGATACGATTGCTACGGAAGATGGTGCCGTGTACCTACAGTGCGACCTACTGATGCAGGGTGAGTTCGATCTTGCAACGGACTTTCTCAAGTTCCAGCCTTCAACGTCATGGTCAAGTTATGTGAAAGGCCGACTTGCTATCGCCAAGGGTGAGTATGATATGGCAGCGAATTATTTCCGCAAGTCTTCATACGGGCTTGCACGTGGTAAAGCAGTTGGGAATCTCGTGGCGCTTTCAGCGGGCTTGCTGTCGATGATCGAGGCTGAATATTTCAATAATGGTCTCCCTCTCTATTTGCACCACATCACGGCCCTCTTTGAAGCTGCAAAAGCATTCAACCAAGCTTCTCAGTTCGCTCATCTGACCCTGGAAGCTTTGCAGTCCCGCCAGAAAGAACCGGTTGCCAACTTTCGTGCTGATGTCTTGTCTAGACTCTTCAATGCAGAGTTGCAGCTGTCTAGATTGGACCGCGCCTACGATGCCTTAGTCCAGCTGCCCGACCCGGCATTGCAACGGTCATCCGCAACAGCGGTTATCAACTCGATCCTGAATTCTCGATCTTCAGTCACTGGCGCCCCGGGTGCAGTGAAGATCCTTCAATCTCTCCCATGGACTACATATCCCCATCTTGCACGTCACATGGATCAACATCTTGTCTCTTTGGCAAAGAACCAGACCTCTGTCGGAACCAAATATTCGCAGTGGCTTGCTGGCGATGGAAGCCTCGACTACCTTGCCATCTTGTACGCGATGAGGGTAGCGCAGAAGGACTACCACGGGGCAGTTACCGTTTTGTACGACCGTCTGAGGTTGATTCGCCGATCCGGACGAGCCAGACATGACCCTCAAGCCACGGCTTTGCGACAGGTTTTACTCTCTCTCATCAACGTCATGGCTTGCGTCGGACCCGAGGAAGCCTATTTATTGGCGGAAGTCGACGACAAAGCGCGTCTATCCCAGGAAAACGAGGAAAATGCCCCAGTCAATGTGGAGAACGTCAAGAGGAGAAGGAGAATCATCATCACGCTCGAGGATCTGCGCAAGGAATACCAAGAAATACTTGACAAATGCAGCAGGATCGAGCGTGGGGATTTTGATTTCGAGATCGACGGAGAAACCGACGAGGAGGATGACGATGATTTCCTGGGCGATCAGTCTAGGTTAAATCTCTCTTCACGTCTAAGTGACACTATGGAATTCTAAGGGAAACCAAAGGGAACAGCATGCGGACGTGACGGTAGCAACCCAGTTATGCTTTGTATGATTGCAGATCAATGGGAGAATAGGAGGGGGTCCTGGCAGGGAACGGAAAAAACTTCGTTTGGCAGACAAAGATTCGCCATGTGTCATCATGAGCTGCTACAAATTGAATCAAATCAGAAATGATCCAGGCGATGCCATTGAGTTCCGTGATTCCATTTCATGATACATTTGACTTGGTTGCACAAGTGATCGGGTCGGGAGGATATGGTAGTTTGCTTTTTTCTTGACCAGGATTCAGTCGAGCTATGGCTACCGGCACGGCCATGTTTCTGAAGACTGTACGGTTCATTGTTTACGATAAAGAACAGTACAGACGAAAGCAAAAGGAAGTAAGAAAGCAATGCAGTACGATACGCACCTGGAAAATGCCAAGGGAGGCTTTTCACCCAAAGGATAAATTGAACTGCAATTTTTTTTATGATTAGAAACCTGTGACGCGGGTACTACATACCGATGAAAAGACAATTTAGGACTCTCCGTGCCCGTACAAACAGCAGTTTTTCCACCTCGCTGATCTATCCTAAACACAAGCTAGCAAGGGGGACGATCTGGGAGAAGAATCAGTCCACGGAAAACTGACCAGATTGGTGGTACTGAAAATATTATACGTCCGACAATTCAGTCCTCTTCAATCTCCCCTTCTTCGCTTCCGGAATGGACACCACTCGGCTCAGGCATTTGTACGTCTTTTTTCGGTGGTTCGGGCGTCTTGCTCTTGTGTTTATCCCGGGAACTGCCCCGTCGGTCCCTGCGATACCGCTTCGCGCTTCTGTGTCCACTATCCACGCTCTCGGCATCACTGCCGTCGCCGCGTCTGCGCCGGCGCTCACTCCCAGTCACACTTCTCGATTCTTCACCATAATTCAACTCATCCCTGCTACCACGGGGATCTGCTCGTGTCCGGTAAAGACGTTCCCGCTCCTCTTCACGCTCGCGCCGCTCACGCTCGTATGTACCGAGATGTCGAGGGGGTGGGGATCGATCACGATCAAGACGTCCGTGCCTCTCATCTCGTTCGCGTCGGTCACGATCACGGTACGAGGGAGGGGGACTTAACCCCATGGAACTGGTCTTGCGATACTGCTTTTCCCGAGCCGCCATGGCTTTGCGGCGATCTGCTTCGTAGGCATCGTGTTCAGGTGATTTGGAGAGTCGGCCGTGTCTCGGTTCTGCACGATAGCCATTTCGATAATCTCGGTCATCGCCCCGTCGAGGATGCTTTCGTTCCCTATCTTTCTCCGCATCTTCTTCCTTTTCTTTCAATCGTTTGACGACTTTCTCAAATGCCGATTTTCTGAGCTCTTCACTTCCAACTGCATGATATTCTTCGGTTTTTTCCACTCGGGACTTAACATCCTCCCAGCTGTCAGTTATACGCACCGGAGGTTCGAGATGCTTGATACGGGAACGCAGCGCATCCACGGCTCGGCGCTGATGACGATCTGCAGCATGTTTCTCATCTTCGCTTCTCCGAAGGACTTTCTCGTGCAATCGCTGGAAGATAAGTTGCAGGGCATCACGGTCGATGTCGGCTGTGCGTCGATCAGTAAGCATGACATCAAAGAATTCATCGAAGGAGGTCCTCGGTGTGACTTCATATCGTTTGTCCTATCCTCGATCAGCTTTGAGTTGGGAAAGGGCTCGATCGAAAGCCTTACCTCAAGAACATCATACACATCATTTCTTCGCCCCCTGAGGGCTCGCTCTTCGTCCTCAACCATATCCCAAAACAAGTCCAATGGCGTTGATCCAGCTTGACCCAGCATTGCAACATACCTCGGGTCATCTTCAATTTCAGGTAACACTGACATCCATTTGGAGCCCGCTTTGATTTTGCCTTGGCTGCGCAAGCCTTGAAGTAATTCCATAAATCTGTCGCGATTCTGTCGTTCGCGCCTGACTTTGCTAGCCTTTTGCTGCTGACGTGCATCATTGAAGGTTCTTTCGAGTGATTTGATATGATTCTCAAAGGCCGTCAAAACGTCTGACTTACTCAGAAGCTTGAATCTCTCATCACTTTGGATTCTCTCGTTCGACTGAAGAATGTCCTGGGCTTGCGACCACCGGGTGTAAGGCTCTAGATCAAGTGCCTTGAGAATGGCGACAAGGTCGTCCAGCGCCGATTTTCGTACCGCTGCTTCCTGCTCAAGATTTTGCTTCTTAAGCTCGATTATATATTCTTCGAATAGTTGCTTACGCTCATCTTCATTGTCTGTGGACCGAAAGACCGTCTCGCCCTCGATGATTGGTCGGATTGTTTTCCATCGGCTGTAGTATTTGATTTCAGGATGTGTCCTCAGCATGTTACCGAAATCTGTGCGTAGCTTAGCCAATCTTTCTTTGGCTTTTTCCCGTTCTTGCTGGCGAACCTCGATCGCATATTTCTCGAATGCCGCTTTCCTATCTTTGGGGTCTTTCAAAGCTCGGTATTGAGGATCTTTGATGGTTGCCCGCATAGTCTGCTCCCAGGTCCAATCAGGCTGCACGTTCGATCTCCGAAGCAATTTCATAAACGCTGTTTCCGCTTCTTCAAAACTCGAGTAGTCAGGCACCACTTCTTTCGTGATCGAGGGCAGGGCGATTCCGTTCGCTCCCCCCATATCGGTACGAGGTTTGGAATCGAAAGACGTGTAGTCGTCGCGCTCACGGGAGCTGGAATAGGATGAAAGAGCAGTGGTACCCCCAGCTACGAAAGCCGGTGGTTGCTGTACAGGTTTAGGAGGGAGTTGGACAGAATTGAGAGCATCTCGATACTGGGCGGGCATGTCCCATACTGTTTGTTTCGTTTCGGAATTCGAGTAGTACTTTCGGCCTTCAGGAGTCGAGTATTCTTTCCAGGGTTGTGCGGCGAGGGCCTTCTCTACAGGAGTCATCAATTCCGCAGGTTTGTTCCATGTTGTTTCCTTCGTCGCTGTGTTGTAGTAGTACGTTCGGCCGTCTGGAGAGCGTGCCTCCTGCCATTGCCCTGGAGTGGGCGGAAGACTAGTCATTTCGTTGGAAATGGTCGGCGATGCCCTCAATGGAACATGGAATGCGGACATAATACGACAAACGAGCAACTCGCCCAAAGGAGGATGCTGAGCGTGAGCGGATGTGAGCCAACAAAAATATAATGCTGGGGAGCCGCAGGAGAAGGACGAGATGCGAAAGGCGGTTACCAGATTATGTAAGCTCCAAAAATGTCACGTGGGCGCTCTTTCCGGCCTCCAACCCATATCGTTCCAAAGCAATTTTATGCGCGGCCGACAATGATGTGTCCATTGGGACCGCAATGGAGACAAGCTTCTTCAAGACATCTTTACTGGACGCCATCATCCCTAACGACACAGATACGGAGCTCTCTGATCTCCTGGAGAGCAATGGAGACCTCCCGGGCGATTCAACCCGCCTTCTGGCCATCAAAGAGAGAGATATCTTGTTCTTTGGTACGCGAGAGCCCAAACTGACAAACCGAATTTCTCTCTTACTCATTCGTAGATCAGATGAAAGATTGAGGGCCTTGGCCGTCCTGCAACTGCCACATTGTGATGAAGATACACTTCGGTCATACCTCTCGCGACTGTCCTACACGATTGATGTCTGGGCTATCGATGAATTATCGAGCAATGACCCAAGCGCTCCACCGACAACACCGCCCAAGGATTTGGTGTTCTCTGCTGAACGCATACAGAAGAACGAGCCCATGGTCCTCGCCAGTCAATCCACCGACAGCAGCCAGACCTTGACACTGATCTGGGAAGTCGAGATCGTCCTCAACCGGCCCAGATTTCGCGTTCCTCAGCCAGCCATCATTTTCATACCATCGGCCACCATCGGTGCTTCCCCACCAGACGAAAACAAGCAAGATGGTGACCTGACGCCTTTCCAACCTCTCGAACCCAATGTCCTGGAACCAATGCGTCTTATTCCAGGGCTCCATGACAATCCGCCATATATTGCCGCTTCGAGGCTCCAAAGAACACTGCCTGTTCCTGCAGCCCACAAACCCCGAATCCACATCCCACATGTCCCATCACGGCGGCACAGAGCAGTACCTGCAACAATTGCTCGACTACGCTACAACAAAGTCAATGCCCCTTCTGCCTCCCCAGCCAATGTTGCCATACTGGACATGGAGATTATCCCCTTTGTTCAGGTAGATGCCGCCATTGAACATGTCGATCTCACACCGAAGAATGGCCGTGCCGAATCATTGATGTCGGGGTTCTTGCCAATGCCATGTCGATCTGGGGACTGTCTCACTTTTATGTACAAACTCCATCAAGCCACAGACCCAAACCTTTCTCTCGGAATTGGTTTTGCCAATACCAACGTCGACGAGCTTTCAATCAAAATCCGGCTGAGTGTCCAGCTGAATCCGAACTGTCGACCACAAGTGATCATGGAATGGACAACTCATGTCGACTTCACACAGGCGTTGAATCCTTCCTTTGGCCCGCCTTCGCAACCTATCCAACGACCCAATCGACCAACAAGTCTCTCCGTTGGTAATGGCAACGGGTCTTCGGTGACGATGACCGCTATCACCACCAGCTTCCAACCAACATCTGACACGAAGCTACAAAGTGGCCTCTCTATATCTTTCACCGCGTCCGATACGCCAGTCCAAGTCGGAAACCCATTTGTCTGGAAAGTTTTGGTCGTGAATTGCTCTGCAAAGATGGCCAAGATCGCAATCATTCCACTGCCACGCATCCAAAGACAAGCCACCCAAGCCCAATTCTTCGCCAAACGTCATGCTCCGAAGTCATCCACCGCATCCTTCCATCCGAGTGAGCGACGACATACCAAGGACGGCGACGACGTCGACATTGCACAAGCCATCGCCGATGAAAATGTTGTCTATGCCATGCATCATTCGAGCGCTATACCGCCCGAGACGGATTTGATGGCGCTGACGGCCGAATTGAAGATTGGGCCACTCGGGCCGGGACAGTGTCATGAAAGCGAGATCCAAATGGTTGCTTTCGAGAGTGGGTCTTTGAGGGCGGATGCAATCAGAATAGTGGACTTGGCTAGAGAAACGGAAGAAGGGGCTATGGCAATGGGTGTGGTGACGGATATCAGAGATTTACCAGATATTGTCGTGGCGAACGCTGCGGACGAAACACACTGAATCTTTGTGACGAGATAGGTTGGGGCGGACCAATCGCCAAAAAGGACGTCTTGGAAGGCAAAATATCTATTGCTGCTGCTCCGGAGTCATCAGTGGAAAGTCAGACTTTCAGGAGGCCTACTTATTTGGGGTGACCTCCCGCTAGCTGTCTTGCAATGCCGAGCTTTCAGGCTCCTGCATTTTGGCCTGTTAGACCACCAACTTGATTGCCAGGTTTCCAAAACGCATTCGAGAACCGAGCACCAGAGATTTTCTGTGGCTTGTAGAAATAGAACCTCTGACAAAATGTTCCTGATGTCAAGATCGACGCGCGTTGCCACTGGAGTATGGGGGCCATCTCATGCGTCTGCAGGGAATGCTTTATGATCTTGACAGACAAAAAGATCTCCGCAACTTTCAGCGCTTAATTGGCCGACATGTTTAGAAACGCCTGGGTTCTCCAGCCAAGGCTGTCGATTGCTGCCAGGCGAATTTTATGTGTCTGCCTTGCAGCTGTTAGCCAACCATTTTCACTTTGTGGACCCGAATCGCGTTGTATTTTCCGAATACGACAACAAGGCTCAGTATAGAAGTCTCAGCCATGTTGGATCACAGAGAAGTGAAAGATTAAAAGACAGCAAATTCCCCTCCCAGGGCTCTGAACTGGAGATTCAGATCCCCTCTAAGTAAACCCGATATCTTTATTCAACTCCCTGCTTCAAGAAACTGCGCTATGACAGGAAACCATTTGAGATACCCCGATGAGATTTCTCTCTCAGGAGTAAAGACTCCCAATGTCGATGTCAGGTCATCTTCCGACTCAATCTTCTCGGACATTTCCAGTGCTCCCACCCTCCTCGATCCTTCCAGCTTCCATCCCGGTACTACACTCCACATCTCAGCCCGGGGTATTGGCGTGCTGCGTTTACCGCTGCCATCCTCAGAGCTTGAAATCCCAATATTCAATGAAGATGGAAGCCTAGCATACACCTCCAACCGAGAAAAGCGCTCTTCAGGAAATGCCGTGCTGAGCCATCCAAAACTGGGCAACCTAATCAGCACCACATATCACTTTGGACCGAATCGGGAGCCGGAGCTCACGTTATTGCAAAGTTCCATTGATTCGGAGAATGGCGGTCAGAAAATCAAGGTCTGCGGGAGATGGACTTCGCGTTCTATCTCCTTCATGACGGCAGACTCTCATGTCTTTGAATGGAGCTACGCTAGCACCAAGGACGCGAACGGAAAGAAGGCCAACATTCTCGCATTGCGACGGAAGGAACTCCCGACTGCTGAGCCAGATGGCCAGGGGAAAATCATCGCACAATTGATTCGGAGTGATGATACACGGACCCAGGGAACATCAAAATGCAGTGCGGGAAATGGTGGTCAGCTTGTTCTAGACCAGGATGCAACCAGTCATTTGGATGAAGCATTGATTGTGGCGACATGCTTGATGATGTTGAAGAAAGAGATAGACAGGAGGCGATTCATCCAGTTGGTGGCTATCGGAGCTGCCGGGTCATGAGGTAGAGGTTCATAGGATCATTTGAGTCTTACTGCGATTAGGATAGCCATATAGCACTGCATTTAGCTTCTTCAGGATATTTCTCCATGTATCGCTCCGTGGATGTGGCTCTCTCCCGATAATTTTCATGTCGATGAAGTCAGGTCTTGTCGCACGACCAAAAGTACCTTTGCACCCTTTAACGATCCGACCCGATCGTCAAGTTTCGATGACTTGTGGACTTTTCATCTTTGCAACTATTGTATCCGCATCACGACTCCTGCTGACCAACTCGAACCTGGGGAACGGGCAGACGGCGGCTGTGGGAACGGGGTTGGGGGGTTCGCGTTTGTTTGGGTCGTTTCTGGTAGGCTATGCCGGCATCTAATGTACTTGTGTGGTTTGTAGCTAAACATATGCGGACGTGCTGTTGGATGATTTCCATCTTCTCTGGGGAATATCAAATTAGTCAGAACAAAACGAGGTCAAAAGAAAATGTGATGACACTTGGTGTAGAAATGATCCTCCGTAAGGCCGCATGATGCGGAAGTTAGCTCCGGTGTGCCCTGATTTAACATGTCAAACTCGTGATCGGAGCGAGGTACTTTAATTGCTTCATGATGCATTGAAAACCCAATTGCAGATGTCTCGCAAGCGCCGCAACACCTCGTCGCCTGAACCCGACGATTCATCCCCTCCAAAGCGTCGCAACACCCACGATGCCATAGATGACGGAGATGATTGGGGGGAAGAAGACGGCAAGGAAGTCCCGCAAGTTGACGAGTACTCCGGGCAGACCGGAGCATTCCCCGGCCTGGGAATGGATCGCGATGAAATCTTCTACGGGCCCGCCTCTGATGGGATTGATTATTTGCGAATGGTCCGGTAAGTCTTCCTGCATTTCCGCTTGGACAACTCGTCACTGAGATATTTGCCTTCAAGGTGTGTCCCTATCGTGATTTTGGGCTGACAACACGTCCCAGCTCCGAAGCAAAAGGCGTTCCACGTATCTTGACTGCGCCTGGCGGACGAACGGAAGATGTGGAAGGAGAGCAGGAGGAAGAGGGGGGGTATTACCATGATGGTGCATATACAGCAGTGACAAGAGCGCCTCCTGTTGAAGCAGAGTCAATTCCTCCCTCGCAACAGCATTACTACGACTCACTACTTGCGCAATTCAAGCTTGTCCAAGCCACAATGCGATGTACTCCTCCACTTCGCAATATTCAGAATCTCCAATCCTCGCAGCTAATCTCTTTTCCAGAAGGCTCCCGAAAAGCACGAATGCAGTGGGAAGCTCACATGTTGTCCAGCGATCCACATCCAGTACAAATCGCTTGCATGGATTCTGACACTGTCTTGGAGCTAGTTAGATTTCTAAAGAGAAAACTGCACCGATTTCTCCAGCAGAGAGACGAATCCGGTACTGTTCGGATTGGTGCTTGGATATGGGCCGTGTTGGGAAAATGCCGACATCCAGGAGAGTTGTCGAGTGAGGAAATCGGAGAACTTCGAGAGCTGGCTCAAAGAGCCGTTGAAATACAGGAAGGTCGCAACGAAGAAGAAGATGCGGCCGGAGACGAGGATTTGGAATTTGAAGGTCTGATCGAGGAGGATGCGGCAGGACGGGGCAATGCTGGTGGATCCCGGGCGGTTGTAAGTCCGTTGCCGGAGAGTATGGAAGCTGGGGATACGGATACTCAATATGATCAGGGTGCAAAGGAGGACTTAGATCGAGCCAGGTTGATGAGAACGACGTTGGACATGATAATCACGGTCGTGGGTGAGATTTATGGCCAGCGAGACTTGCTCGATCTTCGGATGAAATGGGTGGATGACCAATGAAAGATTTGCGAATTGAATCAGCTTGAATTGAGATCTTCGGTCCCGAAAAAAAGGTGTCTCTAAGTTATTTTGTCTTGCCTGCGGCAGGCCGCACCCTACCAAAATCTACGAGGGCAGAAGGCATGGTTCATCCGCCAGCGTGTAAGTTGATATCCTCCTCATCTCCCGCCTTAGGACAAGCCCCAAGAGCGCTACCGTTACACAGGTTTCCCTGCTAGGCCCTTGCCATGTTTGCCATCCCAATATTCCACATTATCCCTCTCTTCCTCTTACCGTCCATCTTAACGCACGTCATGGCCGACTACAACCCTGACATTTCCAACGGCACGTGCTACTACGCAAATGGAGAAGAAGCTCCCTCGAGGTACATCCCCTGTGGCAACGAAGCCCTCGGACACAAACCATGCTGCGAGAGCCTTGATATGTGCTTATCCTCAAATGCCTGTTACAATGGACAATGTGAGAAGAATTTCCGGAGTCGAGATTGGGGGGAAGGCTGACTTGATAACGATAGATGGAGTCACCTATTTAGCTGGCTGCACTGATCCGGACTATCTCGATTCGAAATGCCCTGACAAAGGAGACTTCGCAGGTCGGGATGCGCCCTTCCTCTCACTCCCTACCACCTCTAATGGCATACAGATCAGACATGGGCCGGCTTGGTGTATTGCAATGGAACCTCTAACGAATGGGTTGCCTGCGAAGACAGTGGAAGTACAGTTTCAAGTCCAGCTCCCTGCTGGTGTCCCTTCACGTCTAGAACGGTAGCCTTTACGGATGCTTCTCGACTTAACGACATTATGTCCTTACCCGCATCACTCGGCGCAAGCGTATCTTGGAAAGATGTCTCTGCCTACCAGTCTGAACATTCCCTCACCTCGACATCCTCTGCTTCGGATTCAAGCCACAGCCAAGTCACTACATCGCTGGCCCCCGCATCTACTAGCACATTTGTTAGCAAGACGGCCACCTTCACGTCTTTCGCAATTCCAAACCCGACGGAAATTGTGTCCCCATCTGCGGCCTCCACAGTCGCCATCTCAGGCTCCGAACTCAGTACCGGCGCAATGATAGGAATCGCACTCGGGTCATCGGGTGGGATGGCCGTAATATTGCTTTTAGCATGGCTGGCTTTCAGATGCATGCGTCGCAGGGATTCGGGACTACATCCGGAACCACCGATGGTGGGCTTGAATAGACCGCAGTCAGAAGTTGTTCAAACTGATTTCGAGATGCGAAGTCCGCCATGGTCAAGCCAGAAATCAGAACTTGCAGCAGATGAAAACACCGGCGCTTCTCCTTCTTATGGGTATCAAGACGATCGACGGCCGCAGAGCGTGGAAGTTGAAGGCGGTCCAGCTCGAATTTCTCCTGCAAGACCTACACATGGTGGTGGCTACAAGTTGCCGGGTCTTGACGGGACGTTCTATGAGATGCCTGGATAGCAGAGCCACTGGAATTCAATGCCTGGCACTTTTGAAAATCGAAGTGATTCGATTGTAGGATAGTCAGATTATTTGAGTTTATGGTATGTTAGCGCCGAATTATTTGCTCCAAGTCTCTTTGCAGCCTTGTGCATTATCCGATCACACGACGTATCGGGCATTGTCATCCGACTTCCCCGCACCTGGTCGAGAGAAAGCCCATCCATTGCCTATGGGTGAGGATTGGTATGGAGAGGAAAAATCGCCCTCAATCTTTGTCGCTCTTTCTTCATCTGCCGGTAACCTTTCTGTCTTGCTTCGATATAGGCCAAATTATTCACTTCGGCGCCGCAAAATGTCGACCTATAGAGGCCAGACGCCTTCCTCCCCTCCCGTTGATCCACGCATTGTCTCGTTCTTCGAGAAATTCTATGAAGTTTCTGACAACCCGACCGCGCACGAGGAGTATGCACAATCCTTCACCCCGGATGCTGATTTTGTAATGGGTCTGAAGAGAGCCACGGGTTATAACGATATCCTAACCATTCGTCATGGGTTATGGTCAGGACCGGTCAAAACGAGGAAGCACACACTCGTCAAGATCTTTCCGTTCGGGAAGGACAGCAACGAGGTCATGTTGTATGGGAGCGTGGATTATGGTTTGAAGAATGGGAAGGACGTCACAGTGGAATGGGCTGGTAGAGCGGTTCTGGTCGAGTACCAAGGGGACCTAAGGATGAGCTTCTACCAGGTTTACTTGGTAAGCGACGACCACCATTCGGCTTGCGCGGCTGAGAGCCTGGCGGCTAACACGGGACAGGATGCCGCAGCGGTTGCAAATGCGGCAAAGGACTAGCAAAAAGAACTTGGGCCGTCTCTTCGCATGCTCATTCAGGCATTCATCTATCGAATTCTGTCTTTGTCTTATTCGGCTTTCTCTAACAATCTCAGAAAATTGCCACTAAACCCAGGTCATACATCATGGTCTCAAGCGTTGAGGATCACGAGGGAACGGTGTTGCCTGCCTGACATTGTCCAATCCCAAGAAGAACATGACTATGCGGTTCAAACCCAAGCCACCTCCAGCATGCGGTCGACACCCTTGTCTGAATGCATTGACGTAATCTTGGAAACCCTCTGCATCCGGATCGAGCCCCTTGCCTCGCATGGCAGCTTCCAACTCAGCAGCATCGTTTATACGTTGAGCTCCAGACATAATCTCCTCACCTCGCATGAAGAAATCGTACGAGTTGGACAGTTTTGGATCGGTGGGATGCACTTTGGTGTAAAAAGGTCGGACGGACATCGGGAATTCGTCTAGGACATAGAAATCCGTGTCATACTTCTCGCGAATGAGCTGACCCAGCTTCTTTTCTTGTGCCGTTGTCAGGTCAGTAACGTAGTTGTCTTGTTCCGTGGTGTCGACCCCTGCGTCTCTGAGAATTTTGATGCCGTCAAAGTATTTCAGCCTTAGGGCCTTGCCGTCTTTGATTCTGAAATCTCCAGCCCTTGGGAAGTATCTCTGGACCACAGCAATTTCATTCTTGTACCGGGCTTGGAGTTGCTGAACGATGAAGACGATCAATTTCTCGGCAAACTCTAGAACTTCATGATAATGGTGATTGAAGACCAATTCGAAATCGAGGCCTGTGAACTGTGGCAATGTCAGCAAGTCCTCCATTACAGCATTTGGAACACGTACCTCTGTCAGATGTCGATGGGTGTTACTATTCTCAGCACGGAACACTGGTCCAATCTCGAAAACACTCTCACAGTCTCCGGCGATGAGCATTTGCTTATGCAACTGTGGACTTTGCGCCAGAAATCCACTTTTTCCGAAGTAATTATTGACCTCGAACACACCACTCCCGCCCTCAGTTGCTGTGCCGAGCAATTTGGGCGTGTTGAATTTTCTTGATCCGCTTTTGCGCATGTATTCTTCAAAAAGCTCTTCCACGGCGCTGGAAATCGTGAAGATGGCTTGGTTGCATTCGGTTTGAAGGTCAATCACTCGATTGTCGAGTCTGGTTTTCAACGTGACAATAGGTACCCCCTCTGCATCGACTTGCCCTTCTTCTGCCGTAGCCGGAGGTGGACGTTCGGCATCTTTGACTTGCATTGGGATTTGTTCAGAGGCTTGAGCGATCAGGTAAATTTTGGAGACATGTAGCTCGAGGTCGCTTATTGATGCTGAGGCAACAGGAGGATTCGGTTTCTTGACAGCGCCAGTGACCCGCACGATGGAGTTGACGTTGATGCCTGAAGACCATTTGACCATCTGCCTTGACACCGAATCTCCGTCGGCAGCAACGACCGCTTGAATAGTTTTGCCTTGTTGTCGAAGCATCAAGAATGCAAGCTTAGCACTTTGACTTCTGCTGTTGTGGATTCTGGTGATCACTGTAACTTCTTTGTCGACATATTCTTCATCAAGTTTCTTGAGATGGGTGATCTCGACGTCGTGCTTGGGCAATTTGCCATAATTGTCTTTCGCAGTGTCTTCAGACTCTTGAGCCTGTTGGGCAGCTCTCTTCTCTTCATCCGTCTTCTTCGCCGCGGCCTTTTTGGCAGCTTTCTCAGCCTCTTTTTGAGCCTTCTTCAATGCATTTTTCGAGGGTGTGCTGTCGGCTGAGTTATTCGGGTCGTCTTTTGCGTGAGTGGGTAGGGAAGACTCCATGATGGTAGGCTGTAGAACTCGACGATAATGAGAAGAGGAGTGATATTTCACGATTTTTGTAATGAGTCAAATTGATTGAAAACTGAATTTAATCAGCGCATTTGAGTCACGGGAAATCACCTGAGGCTCACAGAAAGTGGCCTGTGAAAAAGTGATGGCCGGGCGCCGGCCGTTTGCGCCCCAAACCAGGCTGTCTACGGATCCTGCCGCAGGAGAGCCCCGCCAGGATGAGCTTCAAGGAGAAGCCAGCCTCGCCCAGTCACCAGACAATCATATTCAGGAGTAACAGGAACTCATATTCGTTTTATAGAATCAATACGCTTTGGGGGGCTCCCTAGGGGTCCTTGGGAAGGGGGGGGGGAATCCGTTGTGCTTATTATACATTATTCGTGTTCAAATTTATCCGTGTTGATGCGTCTTCAACATAGACGTGCCACAATCTCGTCGACCCGTTCCATTGACACTCGAATCCATGTCGAGTCCCCTGTTGGAAGAGCACAGAACTTGCGGTTTTCCTGCTTCTCTCCTCTTTGCTCCGTGTTTCCATCCCTTTCTGACTCAACCTCTCTCGCGATTTGATGGATTGCTCTATATCTTTGAGGGTGTGTTCGTACACCTTGGCTTCCCGTTCATGAAGCAACTTCTGCAGGTTTCGATCTTGTCACAAACCAGGGTGAAATTTGCCAGGCAGATCTGGTAATTCGGGAAGTGGAAGCATTATAGTTCGCCCAAGCCTGGCATACTTGCAGAGGACCTCGTATGAGGCTAGTTGGTGACGATAGGGAAGTGAAGATTGGGAAGTCTGGATCAATATTGAGTTCAGCAGCGTCTTTGGTGATAACTTCGCCATCATGATGTTCCTCGAGCCGATAATCGGGGGCTCACTGTTAATGGTAGAGGCGAAAGTGCTGGTGAACCAGAACCTGAAGATTTCCGCGAAGACCGGGGTTGTCGCTCTGAGGCAGCAGGCTCCGGACGAGTTTGGTGTCTTCGCGGGGACGTGGTCTCTCCTTGATTGGTCCTGTGCTCGCAGGATAATAATTTACAATCCTCTCTTGGTTCATCAGCCAGCCATTTCGAGCCGGAGGTTTCATAATTTCGTTCACATTTTTCAACGCCTGAATGGCGTTATAACGCTTCTTGAAGCTCGGGTAGTCAACAAGGCGACCTCCGAATTCTACGTCAGAAGGAACGTAGTTGCTACTCACTTTGGCCAATTCCCCCGCATACTTGTTCCAAAAATACCATGGTCTTTGGACTTTGCCTTTCCGCTGGGCTAAATGAACATCGTTGGAATAAGGCGGATTATATATGTTGGATCCTGTGGTTCCAAGGAACGATCTTTGAACGGGGCTGGACGTAGATAACGATTCCTCCAGCTCAGGCGGAGATCGAAACAAACTGGCAACCCATATGCCGATCACACCAGGATGTATACCAAGGAATGGAATATCGAAAGCAACAAGGCCCCAAGATGCGGTATTGAAAGAGCTTATCGTCTCCCGGACTGTGCGAAGGAAGAAGAATCACTTCGGCGGCTAAATACCACCCAAGCTATGACCGTCGAGAACAACATCTGTCGTGTCCGATTCGTGAGATTCAAGTCTAAAGATTGTCAACCCATGGAACCAAGAAGCATGACCGACTAGCCAATTGCTGAATGTGTCTCGGGCAAAGGAGATATTCTTCCGGGATTTGTATCGCAGATAAATTTTCGTGTAGATAATGTGTCGATGCTAGCGCCGTAGTAGAGAGACTATGGACATGCGCTGGGAGGAATCCACGGATGTAGATGATGAGAAGTGTTCGCCTGCCATCGCCCGCCGACTTGATGGACGAGGATCGTAGAGGCCGGGAGGAGAACCTTGCGTGGTGAGGTTGTCTCGGGAGGTAACGAGGATTTACAGCCATGAGCGTCGCCTGGGTGGGAGGAAATCATCCTGCAAAATGTAGAAATGCCAGGTGTTTAAGTACGACGTTTGGCAGTTCATATTAAGGTGCCTGAACCGCAGGCGTCGTCGATCACAGCCACATTGTCGCTGAAACGCCCAGATCAATCTAAACGTCACTGTGCATTCTGCGGCTTCGCTTGAAGCTGGTCTCTTTCCCAGGGTTCATCTCGTTTATATCATCCCATCCATCTTCAAGCTCCTAAACCTTTGGCCATGGCGCCACAAGTTGAAATCTCCTTACCCAATACGACCGTCTCGGGCACCTCCAAGCCCTACACAATCTACAACATCACATTACGGCTGCCTTTACGTTCATTCACGGTTCAGAAACGATACTCCGATTTCCTCGCCCTACACAATGGACTAACTGATCAAGTGGGATCGCCGCCTCCTGTCTCCCTCCCGGCTAAATCCTGGTTCTCAAAGACCATTTCAAATCCAGAGCTGACAGAAGAACGGCGGCGAGGCTTAGAAACATATCTCAAGACCATCAACGAAATAGACGATCCGAGATGGCGTATGACAAGCGTGTGGAGAACCTTTCTCAACCTGCCTAGCTCTTTCGCGAACCATACATCGAATAAAGCTGGTGCTCTGCACTCAGCTATATCAGGGCCGGCGGGGGGCGGCGCACCCATCACAGATCCTGTGGTCTGGCTCGATTGTCATCGAGATCTGAAGGGACAACTTCATGATGCACGCCTGAACTTAACGAATCGTGATCAAGCTACGACGCTACAGAAACAACACGAAGCCAGTGCCGCAGCAAAGAGTTGTCTTGTCAAGGCGGGTTCGATGATCACGGCACTAGAAGAAGGACTGACAAATATACAAAAAGTGGCAGACAGTGGGTGGGGAGGGCAAAAGCTCGGAGAGGGTGAAATAAGGAGAAGGAAAGATTTGATAGCTTCAGCGAAAAAGGATAGAGATGGCCTGGAAAACCTACTGAACGCCATGGCCACCAAATCGAAGCTGGACAGTGCTGTCGCATCCATGCAGGAGACCCAGAATCTTATCTCCACAAGACCCAAAGTTGGAGGGAGAATACTCGGAAAAGAGACTGCAGAGACAAGAGAACTGGACAATCAAGGAGTATTGCAACTGCAGAAACAAAAGATGGCTGAGCAAGACCTGAACGTTGAAGAATTGCGAAAGATTGTCCAGAGGCAGAAGGAATTGGGTATCGCCATAAACCAGGAACTTGAAATCCAGAACGAGATGCTGAGAATGGTTGATGACGATGTTGATCGTGTTAAGGGAAAGATCGATATAGCAAAGAGAAGGGTTGGAAAGATATCTTAGGCTCCAGTCCAGTCTTGGTTCATGTCATTTCTCATCAAAATGGGGTATCCTTTGCAGTTTCCAAATAATTTTTTTTTTTCCCCCTATTTTGGGCATCCGCGAGGACAACAATCAATCATGGTTGACCGAGACATCCATTCTCATGGTCATGAAAGCATCTGCATCTGTTCGGCTCACATCCGAGACATGTGAAGCTTCATTACTGATCAGACCCAGTTTGCTGACTCGGATCTTCCACCACAATTCTCCTCGATTTCCGCCCAATTCGCCTGCCATCAACTTCTCCTTGATCTGTCGCAAAATGTCATTGTACGCTCGCGGCTCTTCATAGGCCAACATTTCTTGACGAATCACGTTGAGCATTTCAAGTACTCGATCGTCATTAGCTTCACCAAAGCTATTCTGAATGAGATCTTCCACTATCTTTGTCATTTGTGAATTTGCTTCTTTGAGAGTATCAATGTCATCCGAGGTTCCAAGCATTCGCTTATATTCAGGAATGGCGTTGTCAGGAGAGATGCGAGTTCGCTTTTCTCTGCGGAAAAGATCTTCGACATTTAATCCGGACAAGGGCTTCTCGACTTCACGAGGCCTCTTCCGACCTTTAGCTTTGGGAGGGACTTTCTTCACATCTGCTGCAGCCATCAACCTGGAAAGTGCAGCTTTGCTCCGCTCTTGGACCTCTCCAGGCTGTTTTGAGCATGCAAGAAATACTTCGGACTTCTCGGGAATATCATCATTTGGATGCACTGCTCGGTATTTGATTGCTCCCTCGATTGTGTGCAAAACGGGTGAGAATGTGTCTTCCATGGCCATCTCTTCCTCGTCATCATGCACCAAACTTGCACTATCAACGAAGTCACTCATGCTTTGCAAAAGTTTCTCGTTGGGAAGATTCCGATGTTCTGTCAATTCTTTCCCTGAGACAGTGATGACCTTGTCAAGTGGCGGAAATCGATAAGTGCGAACATCCTCAGCAAAAGGAAGAATGTTTTCGACCAAACATTCGAAATCTGACTCCGCGAGTGGTGAGAGAAGCGTGAGAATGGGCTCCGACATATCTTTCTTCACTAGCCTACCTACTGCAGCCGATCCCAGTTCGAACAGAGCATGTATTACCGAGGAAAGGGCGAAAGCAGCTTTGTCATTACCCTTTTGTGACACAATCATGTTGGTATTGTCAAGGAGCATGTAGCGCTCGACTTTCTCCACCGGAATGAATCCTATAATATCATATGCCATTTCCGTCTCCAGTTTGGTGATATTTTGCTCTGTCTCGGAGATTGCCACCGCTGTCCGCCCATATTCATAGCCCTTGGCCAACTCGTCACGCTCGAGAAGTCGTATGCCACCCTCATACGATTCATCTTTGACTTTGTACTTCTGCATGTTGTAAATGGTCGCGAGATTCTCATCGGTAGCCGAAGAGGCCGTGTCCCGAACGACGTAAGAACTGGCGGTCGGCGCTCTTTTGACAGATACTTTGAAGTACCTCTCAACGTCGATGCACAATGCCGTGTCGTAGTTTTGTGGGTCACCGAGCCTCAGTTGGCCTTTGAATGTTGGTGTAGGGCGCACAGGGATGATCTGAGGTCGTGACAACTCATCGATGGCTTCTTGCATGGTACCAAGGATTCCGCCGCCGAGTTCTACCAGATGTTTCAAAATTTGTTCGTTCTTCGTCTTTTGTACTGGCTTGTCTTTTTCCTTGAATCCATAATCCGGGTCGTCAAAGTCGATCCCCAGAACCACCAGCTCGATGTCATTGTTCTTGAATTGATAAGCCGTGCTTTCAATGTCGTCATCATCGATATGGCCAGTTGCGCTGGTAATCACGACAATTTTCTTCTTGTATTTCAGTTTCTTGCAGTGCTTCATCATCATGTCGACAGCGATAATGATGCCGGAGAGAACGTCGCGGTCATCGGTTTTGCTGGGCTTGAGCATCGAAGGTAAGGCTTGCAGTTCGGGCATCAGGATCTGTGCTATGGGTTGAAGGATACTGATATTTTTGTAACTCTCATCTCCTTGCATGTCGTTGGAAGTCTCGTCGGTTCCAAGGCCAACAATTCCAATTTGAAGAGTCTTGCGGCCTGTGAAAACGATATTGGTAATTTTGTCCCAAACATATTGAAGAGCCCAATCGAGGTCAGACAGGTCTCTGCCAGAGCGTGTTTGACCCATAGACCGGGCTAGATCAATGACGTAGATTGTTGCTTCTTTCTCCATTGCTAGAGGATGCCGCAGGGAGTTCTGAATCGGGTTGAGGATAGAAGGGGGATGTCAGAGACAAAGGTCAGGGCGACTATTGTGGCCAAAGTGGTAGGGCGTATGGCATCCTATGAAAGCGAGCGGTCAATAGAGGTCTCGGTCCCACGATGCCGCATTGCGAAGACGCAAGTGTCTCCACCACCGCTTCGCGAAAACTAAACGCGTACTCACGTGCTTGGAAAGCCTCGGATAAATGTCACTGGAACATAACCTGACGACGCTCTTGATTTTTCTACATAGTCACGGAACCTCACTCTGATAGAGGCAGTTTGCTCGTTTCCTGCGTAAAGCGAATACACTCCATCATGCCAGATTTCTCGATTTTCTACTCTGCGGCTCCATACCATATTATCAGGTACGGGCGGCTACATCGTTTTTCGGACTCTCCGGCTCACATGATTCTAGCTATGGCATCCTTCTGGGGTCCCAAACTTTCCAGACCTTTATAGGCGGAATCACAGCATTCAAAGTTCTTCCTCGGCCTCAGTTTGCAGCTCTTCAATCAGCCTTGTTTCCCATTTATTTTTCCATGCAGACGGCCCTTCCCGTCCTCCTTGCTGTGACATTTCCTGCCGAGCAGACCGCCATTGGAATGACCGCCTCCAGTATGTCTGGTGTTCTCGAACCTGCAAACGGGCTTCGGGTCCTGGCCCCTTTAATGACGATTTTTGTGACCGGCTTCACGAATGCATATGTCCTTGGCCCGGCAACGGCCAAATGCATGAAGGAGAGAAAACAGCAGGAAACAAGAGATGGGAAAAAGAGCTATGATCCACCACCACATAGCAAAGAGATGCAAGCTTTGAACGAAAAGTTTGCCTTTCTACATGGAACATCGTCGCTGGTAAACATTGTCGCTTGGGCGGCAACTTTATTGTACGGATTCTACCTTGGGGAAAGAGTATCTTGAACTCGGAGGGGATGCACATTAAAAAGACATGGATGCTGTTATGGGCTGGGATGAGCGGGTGGTGGACGGGTTGTATAATTTCTTTATGGCGGAGCGATCTGAAAGAGTCGCTCCACCATTACAAAGTTGCCTCCTCGCCGTGAGAGCTCCATTTCCCTCTCGGTCTCATCTGATATGGCCTTGACGATCCATGCTCAAAATGTCCCAACCGGGTCTTCTTATTCCTGCTTCTTTTCGACTGCATTATTGCAGGTCTTCGAAATTCCAATGACGAAATCAGGAGTACTGATCCTGCCTTCGAGGCGGGTGACGTTTTGTTTCATTTTCTCACACTTTCTCTCCCGCAGCATTCAACGTTCAATTCCCACACTATGAACTATTCTCTTTCATCCTGGAATGACGCAGACGCAGTCCTCTGCATGACTTGATAGCTAACTAGATGGACCGAGAGCTGATATCAAGTGGGATTGAGGCAATATCGGAGGGTACGAAGTGTTTACGGAGGAAGTCCTCTTTCGTCCGGGGGAATGATGCATTCAAAACCCGGTTCGGCTCATTCCGGAGCCACGGCCGAGGTGAAAACACGCCCCCATCGGTGGCTAGGGAGAGCTTGGTAGAGGGACTTGTGGAGTTATAAAAATTGAATTAGTGTCATTGATATGTACAATTAAATGTTCAAGTAAAATGAAGAAGCTGCGAGACTAAATCTGAGACAGTAGCCCAAACCAAAAATATTGACAACCTCGCTTGAGTACACTGCTTCATGCGTTGGGTCAACCTGAGTTCAGGGAACCGTTTGACAGAGGTGGTGGACTCTGCAAGTATAGATTCTGGATTGGCGGAAAGTTTTACGATATATTCGACTTGCTCAGAAGAAATAGGACACCGCACCAGAAACGGAATCACCGGAAATGTTTGTGCGATCCATCCTTGAACTTGTAGATGAAAACTGCCTAAAGAGCTGATATTTTGCTGGGCTAGCGGATAGTTTGCTGCTAAGAACTTTCAAGGCGTTCGCTTGCGGTCGGCTTTTCGGTGATAACTGGTTCCTCCCTGCCGGACTGCTTTGTTCTGACTCTTTCGACTCCAATATCTTTCAAGCCTACGCCTTGCTTGCGCAATCTTTCGAGCTCATTTGCTTGCGCGGCGTATTCGGCTCGTTCAGCTTCACTCATCTCCGGCCCCAGAAAGAGGAAGAGGGCTTGATAAGCCCAAACGGCGCCCATAAAAATAGCAATGACTTTGCCATAATCAAACCTTTCGATTCCGTTGTAGGGTGGCAATGGGTATCTCTCGCCGACCACCGATTGAATCGTGGCAGAGGCAGAAGATGCAAGATTTCCAAGTTGATAGGTGAATCCAACCGCTGTAGTTCTGAGAGCCTCCGGGGCCAATTCCATCAGATGTATTGGAATGGGCCCCCAGATTCCTCCGACACACCATTGTAAGAAAAAGGCGGACGCCACGAGACTCATATCTCGCGGTATGATATATGCGGGCACCAGAGCCCCGCCGACAAAGCAAGTAACCAGCATAGTAAGTCTACGGCCAAAAAAGGTGCTGACGTAGCCCAAGGTGGTTCCACCAATAAGCGCACCAATCTGACCGACTACACTGATGACGGTGACATCCGTTGGGCCAAGCAGGACCTGTTGTTTGAGGAATGTAGGGTAGAAATCTTGACTGCCATGGCTGCAAGAGTTAAATCCGGTCATCAAGATCACGAGATAAATGAATAACACCCAGTTTTGTGCGATTGCGGTGCCAGAAGCTCTGATCCAGGCTTTGAAAGCTGCTGCTTTGACGTGGGTTTGTCCTGCACTCTCTTTTTCGGCAATGAGTTGCGCCTCTCGCTCGGCAGCCATGACTTGAAATGCATTTGTTTCCGGAAGCCACCAGCGGAAGGCAATGATGAAGACCGGGGGTGCGGCGCCGAACCAGAAGAGCGATCGCCAACCATGGGAAGTTGTTGGAACAAGCTGGGGGAGAACGTCAGTCGGAATTCTGGGATTTTACGTGGTACTCACGGCACGGTAGAATATCGATGCCAGCAAATATCCAGTTGCATATCCCTGCTCAAAGAGGCCGGAAAGGAGTCCACGAGCGTCATAGGGTAAGTCCTCCAGAGCTGTTGCTGCAGCGGGACCAAAGAGACCTGTATTGATCAGAAAAAAAAAAAAAAAAAACATAACGAAACATGAGAACTAACCGCCCATAGCAATGCCGTAGAGAGAGCGAACACCGAGAAATTGTGGTAGAGTATGACAGAAACCAGAAGCCAACTCCAAAATGATGAAGAGACCCAAGTTGATGATCATCGGCCATTTTCGTCCATATCTATCAGACACAGTACCGAATATCAGGGCACCCACCGAGCGCAACATTAGTGTAACGGTGAGACCCTATTCGCGTCAGTATGACGGTTGGTATTTGGCAAATTTCTAACGAACCCATGAGACTTCGGAGTTTTGCACACCAAAGTCCTTCGCAATTTCAGTAATGGTAAGTGACACGGTGAAGAAATCAAAAGCATCCCATGTCCATCCTAGGAAGCCTGCAAGAAACATGAGCCATTGGTGTTTGTCAAGCTCTTTGAGAATGTGGTATGGATTTCGCAATCGAGTCCTGGGCGGCTTCAGGCTGGTAGGTCGCGTGAGGATATAACGCCCAATTTGCTTGGGTGAATAGAACCACCCTGCTGCCATGTAGTTGCGCATCTTGATAGGGAAGGTTGCAAGAATTACTTGGAGGAGATAAATAAGAAAGTCGGGATGGACAATGGCTCCCGCAACTGTAATTCCGAGAGAAAGGAGAAATATATCCTCGAACACTTCTCTGCAGAACGACGTCCTCCGTTCTTTCCGTTCCACCTTCCATTGTCGATAGAAATGTGGTGTAGCCAAGACGAGGGGAGTATTTGTTTGGAGTTGATAGCGTGATGGTCATGGTCATAGTGTTAACTGCCGTTGCATTCGTTTCCTCGCTCGTTCGCCGATCCTTGAGCACCAACGGGACTGCTTCCGCTGGAAAGGGAATTTTCATGCTGTTCAACCTCGTGCCCGACGCTGCAAGGTCATGACCACGTTCCTTTCCTTGCAAGAGAGTTGGTCCAATCATAACCACAATTCTGGGGCAACTCCATGGTAGTTATGTTGATCCACCGAGGGTTGTGCCAACCATAGAGGTTTTCAATATCTGGTCAACAACGGTTGTAAGCTTGGCCTAAACGCCACAGACAAGCAAGATCCTCGGATAAGAGTTGAAAGCCAATATGAAGGGCGATGTCAAGCTATCGCCACAACGCTTGTCGTTGGGATGGAGAACCCCGCACTTCCGCGGCAGATATTTGGTGTTCCATTTGTGGGGAATCGAGGTTCGTTTGACCAATTAATAGACTTGTCGGCTCTGCGGTGAAAAGGCCTGCGGGAATGAAGAGCTTGCAGGCTGTCGAGAGAAAACAGAGCTCCATTGCGGAGCTTAAAAGTATTCCCGCCTGGTATGATCCAATGTCCCAACCCGGCGCCGCCCATTTTTCCGTATTGGTAAGTCATACAGATAGATTGGCCGACAATAGATTGGCCGACAATTGTTTCCTACCCGGTTCTTCTTTAACGTAAAATCTGAGATCAAATCCGTGCGCGACAAGGAGCATGAAAGCTTGCCCAGATCCAGTTCAATATTCAAGACGGGAGTTCCCAAGCCGACACATTTATCCATTAGTTTAATCAGTTTAAGCATCGACTGCCCGCCGAAACAAAGGCTCTTACGCTCCAAAGAGCGGTTCTGCTCCGCTGATCATGCCTTCGTACGCCATCGTAGGAAACTCCCGAGGCATCGGGCTCGAGTCCGTCGACCAGCTTTCGAAGACATCCTTCAATGCGATCTTGCCCCTGATCGAGCAGGGCGAGGAGTGGAAGATTGTGCACATTAGTAGCACCAAGGTAGACATCGACCTCATCAAGAAGACCGGACTGCCGAGCTCGGTGGCATATGCTGTTGGTAAGGCCAGCATGAACGTCGTGATTGCTAAGTATGCGGCTGAGCTTGCACCGAAGGGTATCAAGAGCTTGGCTCTCAGTCCAGGCTGGTAGACACCTATGTGGACCTAGATATGTCAATACTGAGCCTACCGGTCATCTAATATTTCCTGGGCCGTAAGGGAATAGTAGCAGCTAACAGAATTTGTAGAGCCCAAGCCAGCTGAGGAATTGGTTTTCGAAAAGGACTGACTCAAGATATTCCAAAAGTTGTATCATCATGTTAATGGATTTCGAAGGAGAAGAGCACGAGAAAGCAGCTCAAGGTTATCAGCAACTTGGAAGCTCAGCGGGGGCTTTCGTTAGTTAGAATAGTAATCAGGACTCGCTCTAGTACCGTAGCAGACGGGCTCGAGTGCTGTGTCCTGTATCTTTCCCTTATCGCATTAAAAGCTCTCCAGAGAAGGACCGGGCCTTATCGCACGTGAACAGCTGGCTCTCGAAGGCAACAGACAGCATGAATGAAGGAGGACCAACCAAAGGCTGAGAGGATGCAAACAGAGGAGCGGCTACGGGTTTTGCGAGTCGACTCGGTGGGCTCTGCGTAACCTCAGTATATGCGCAAAACGTGAAACCTTAGGCAGCAGCGCGGAGGTATCTTGGACCTGAAACTTGAGGGTGCTTTGTGTCATTTTTAGATAGCGCAATACGACGCCCTCACAGCTTGATTCAAGTTTCTTGGCAGCAAATCGAGTTTCTTAGTAATAATTCCTTATTTTTTAGACTCTTGCACCTCGATGTTGACTCGTCTTCACCGGAAACTTGGACAGGTTATTGGTATTCGTTCATGGAGTTCCTTTTTGATGACTTTTCAAATTGCTGACGGAAACTTGCCGACCTGATCTGCTCAGGAACCCCCTGAAACGCCCGCCTACTTTCGCGATATGCTAGTGCTTACCTGAAGGAGTTTGCTCTTGTAATCCAGTTTCAAAACCAAAACCCCTCTTCCACCATTTGATCGCAGCAGAATTTTGCACGCTCGTTCGAATGGTAATTAACACAGATAACTCTCCTTCTCAGGGAACTTCTGATGCCACATTTATTGTGTGACCACCCCCGGGGTCATAAATAGCATGAACGACTATCTAAAGTTTTGCCACCATTCTTGAATTCTCGGGGAAAATGTATGGATGTACATTGGAGGCTCTTTTTGTCCACTGACGTATTTTTCGAATTTGGTCCTCCCAACCCAATTCTCTCGACGACGTTGGTTGAGTCAATCATTTCATTTCATTCTCCATGGACCATCGAGGCGCAGGCCGCCGCCCGTTGGGTCGTTCTTTCTATAGCAGACTATTCAGCACTCCTCCAACACCCGAGGCCCTTGATTCTCAACACTCTTTGAATCCAATCAATCCCCAAGAAAAAAGCATCTACACCGTTCAAAGTCTATCCAACCCGCAGGAGAAGAAACATGCCGAATACACCAAAGTGGACTTGTCCGGCTACAATGATGTCCCTACTCCGAACCCAGCACCAACATTCAGCTCTCGCGAATCGCCGAAACAGGCAATCAAGAAAGGAATCTGGGCCAACTCCTATAAGTTGCTTCCCCATCTCGTCGCCAGTGCCGTCACCGCCACTGTTGTCCAATTGAGTTTTCGCAATCACTACTGGATGGATTTGCTGGATCCGAATGTCGAAATCTTACCGGGAATCACGCAAGGAGGTGCAATGAATGCTCTTCAGCTGGCAGCGAAGATTCATGAACTCATCTTGGTCGCTTCGTTGGGAAATATTGTCATGCACGTGGCTCAGGCACACCTTGTTGGCAATCGTGGCTTGCCGCTCGGACTGGTCACCAATAGTTTCGCCATTGGTTCAGGAGACTTTGTGAGGACAAAAGCCTTCTGGGCGTCCGTCTGGACAACGAAGGCTTACTACTGGCGATTTTGGCTGCTCTCCCTGCTTGCCACCATCTTAGCCACCTTGTCTGGACCTTCATCTGCCATTGTTATCATTCCATCCCTCAACTGGTTTCCGGTGAAGCAACCTTTCAACAATGACGTTCTCCCTTTTTATGTATTCAACCAAAGCACGGCTCTCTGGCCCCACACTGTCACCGGTGCGAGCACAAACAGTCCAGATTCTGGCATCAACTGCACAGCCGCGACCACGTCAACAACGGCCCAAGACTCATGTCCCGCCGGTGGATTCCGGGACACATACCAGTGGGCTGGCAATCTACTCTTCACTAATTCTACCGCGGGCAGTAATATCAGTTACCCGGACGCTCGTGGTGATACTCGGAGAGTTTTATCTACTCAGAGCTGCTTCAGCGATTTTGACGGGAGGGCATCAGGCATGTCGCTGAACACGTTCATCACCGGGGCTCTAACTGCGTACTGGAGTTTTGCCCGCGACAATTTCGACGGCCTCGGTCTCAAAACGTCACAGCCCAGACTCCGTCTACAAGTTCCAATCTATGCTCCTAGGGTGGAAGTCATGTGCAATGCCTACGATTATTTCAACACCTCGGATGTCGAAAATCGTTCTGCGGTGAATTTCCCCAGTTTCACTCCGGACAGAGCTCTTCCGAGGCCGGGTTACATTGCGCCTTACGAGGGAACATTGAACGCGACGACATTTGACTGGGCCCCGATGCCATCAGGGCCGGACAACCCATCCATCGGTGCCGTAGTTAGAGTACCATGGATCTACCGAAGAGAGAACGAGACCACTCTCAGACAAGCCACCGAGATTCACGTATGTAGTATTTATGCTCAATGGGTGCCCGTGGAAGTTTTTTACGAGCCGAGAACGAGTGATCAGGTTGCTTTCAATGTCCAAGGGAAGCTCACCAACAGTTGCCTCAACCCGCCGTATGTGGCTAACACCGATCGATCAATCAAAAATATCACCATCGACCTCGAGTATGCAAATGCGATCAATCAGCTGATTCCGTTCGTCGATGCCGATCAGCCAGCAATAATTTCCATGCTGGACGAGGCCACTTTTATCGATGATCGATTGGTTGGCGACGTTGGATACGAGTTCAAAGCACCCTTTGTCGGTGCGGCCAATACTGGAGAATCCGAAAACCTGACAATGGAGGAGTCTCGGAAATCTGCCTCAACCATGATATCGACTCTTTTGGCGGGTGTTGTGACCGATGGTCTCGCTCGAATTGCCGGGAATGGACTCTTCCCATACTCGGCCGCAATGTTTTTGACCAATAAGACGGATGATTCGGGTTCTTTGGTTGGTAGATTTGTTGTTTCATCCGCACAAGGTGGCGAAGATGATGCTCTGAATGCCACTACGACAGATGTCGATAACTGGCTCCGCATCGATCCGGTTTTCGACCGCTACGGCTACGGGTATCGATGGTCTGGATCTGCCACCACGCAGTTTGGCATCATCGTCCTCTTGATTCACGTCGGTCTCGCCATGCTACACTCACTTTTTATTTTGTACAAAGTCCTCATTGTCGGAGATGGACTTGTAAGTTCGTGGACAACAGTTGCGGAACTGCTTGCTCTGGCAATGAACTCGACTCCTTCGCCCAACTTGCAGGACACCTGCGCTGGCGTGAGTGCTACAAAGACATGGAGACAAGTGGTGGCTGTTAGGGAAACGTATCCAGGTCATCTTGAGATGGTTGTTGGCCCTGAAGACAAGACTCGTCATCCGCTACCACAAGTAGGTCGGGTGTATGGACATATTCATGATTGAGTGTGTTTGGATTGTAAATGGAATGTTAGTTTGTTATGATTATTTTCGAAGCGATTTGACGAATGGGGCTCAGAGTTGGTAATGCACATAAATGTCCAAGAATATAGTGTAAATTATCCCATAGCCACTCTGAGTGACTCAGACGCTCCCGGTTATTTGAACACATTTGCGGCCGAAACCAGGGTGATGCCTCTTCTGCTCTCAAAATTGACCACTGGCGGATTTCTGCGCTGGAAGGGGATAGATTTGGATATGAGGCGGGTTTGATTTCGTTTCATGCACGTAGCTGTTCAAGATGTCCGTTGTCGACTCCTCAGCCCGTTCACAATTGACGCCAATTAAATCTGCTCAGCGCTATCTAAGTCCGCGCAGCAACATATCGACGTATGGAAAACATTCGTTTACGAAGCATATATAAGTAAAACAACCACCCCTAGCAGATACGTTTAGTTAGCTCATACATTTCTTTACACCGCTAGACCAACACGAACTTATATCACAGGACAGACCATTAACGCATCTAGGAATTCTACTATTTTTTTTTTTGCTGATTTGCACCCACACCCGGATTTGAGCGTCGAGAAATGTCGAGAATGCCGTCCCGTCAACTATGCAAGAAGCTGAGTGTTGATACCGCCCTTGAATTTGACCATGCCACCTTCTCTGTGTCATTCAAGAATGGTACTCTTGTTGATACCGTTTTGATTTATAGATTTGAACAGTTCATGCCCACGTTGCAAAAGCCCAGTCGATATCTTCCATTCCTTTTTCGGAACCTTCCTTGCCCGTCCATACCGAAATTGCACATGCTCCAATGTAGATGGAGGATATGCTTGTATCTGTTTCCAATCGGCGGCCAAGGCATATATATCTCCAGTCCACACTGTCTCTCTCTTGCTCCCAGACTTTTGTCAGACGGCGCAGTTTGGGCCTTCGATCAGATACTATATCTCCATCATTGAATGTGCAGCCTTGAAATCTTGTGCAAGCAAACCGGCTGTTCAAACTCCCTCAGTCCTCAACGGATATTCTGTCATAGAAATTGCTCCAACACTGTTAAGGGCGATCCAGATGACGATGAAGGGTGCGACAAGTACAAATGGTAGCCGAATCCGAACCGTGTTGGGGATCGATCTCAATAAGAAGAATCTTTGCACGCATGTGACGTTTTGAAAGGGTAGAATATTATTTCACGATTTGGCCTTGACAAGACCATACCCTCATCGAGGGGTTACATCTGCGAATGGGACCGATACTCGCTCTCATTACCAGAAATGGATGGAATAACAGCGGTTAGAATTCGTCAAAAAGACCAGTAAAAACACTGCTTTGCAAATGCTTCACGGCATCCACGTTATGCACCTCCAGCATCAAATTGGAAGAACACCTGTGCAGCCTCCATCCTTTGTTCCTGCCCGATCAGTTGCAGGATCTGTCAAGTTGATAGTGCAAGATGGCTCCGACTCTCGTACGCCAGATGTTTTGTGTCCTCGGAGTGAGCATTACCCTCCTGGCTGAGGCTGGAGTAATTGTAAGGAACATGGACAGGGGGACGAACTTTGAGCGTTGCCGCGGTAAGGAGAAGGTCTGATTTGAGTCGTGCTGGGACAACAATAACGCGACTGGGAGGATGCTGGCATTAATCTTGGGTGTTCGGCTTGTGTTGACTAACTATCTGAGCAAAGCAGCGTGAGAGCAGCTTGTTGAGGACGCTGGTTCTCTGAGTGGCTTGTAATTAATTTCATCTCTTTCATCCGTGGTTATCCAACATCGTTGGTCGCGGCATAACTCTTTTCCAAGATCCAGTAGTCCAAATCTTCCCATATTAACATTTTCATAATATCTGGGAACACTTAGGAGGCAATTTCTGCGGGAGTTGTTGCTGGAAAGAAAAAACTGCTGTGGCTTTGAGACAATCCAGCACATCGGTGACCGCAAAGTAGCTACGGCTTTGACCAATCGGTCTTAGCCACCTCAAAAAACTTGCGCTTTTGGACCTGAATATCTCCACCACAATGCAATGGAACCTTGTGAGATTTGGATGCGGCTCTCTTTAGGTGTAATGAAATGATACTTCGTCACCAATACAAAAGTTGTGCAAACAGCGTCCCCAAAAATCCATGCATCATCGTTATAGTGGGAGTAGCCGATTTTTAGGCAGGAGGATAGGCTGTCCTGTGTCTGGGTTCGAGGAAGTGGCCGGTTCGACTGGGTGGCTAAGACGTTATTAGTTAAGAGAAAAGTCGGAAGCGGCTCGGCATCTAGCTCAAAATAGAAGGTAGCAACGACATCTACAATCTCCAGAGTTTATTGAGCGGAATGTCCCAGATGGTGACTTCAACGGCAACACTCCTCGGCCAGACACGGGAACTGGCAATGGGCATCCAAAAAACAAAAAGGAGGGGGTGGTCGCACAAGTTTGCTGTCAAGCATGGGATTTGGAAGGTCTGCACCATGTCTTGACTCTAAAAGTGTCCTGGTTCATTCTTACCCGCGGTATGGCACGGAGATGGCTCCTTGTCCCTTAACATTCAACGTGTTCAGCTGTTGTCTCAGTGCTGCAACGACATGTTTTTTCGGATTTGATCTACCAGATTCATGACCCATCGCATAGGTGCTGATAGGAACCGTCGTGAAAGGTGATTGGTCCATAGAATTAGCACTTCTAAAGACGTGGGATGAGGGCTGGATGGCATGATGACAGCTGCTTCTGTCTACCTAGGCTCTGGTCAATCAGCTGAAAAGCCCGACCTTTACCATTGGAATGGAGAACAACTTCAATGAAGCTCTAGTTATTCTATCAAGGTTTTCCAAAGGTCGATTTGATGAGATCTTTGTCGAAAATCTGGAATCGAGAAAACGATACTTGTTCTACACGCTTTTGGTGATCTCTAGCGACCTCGGCTCCCCTCACATGGGATGTGCAGGATGTGGCAAACGATGATCTAGAGGGTCCTTGTTGCCTCTCCGGTCAAATCGGGGAGCATACCCACGCATGGAATCTGACTCTATCCAATGCGGGTTATACAGGTGATAACACTCTCCTTTCTCCGCTAGCTCATGCGAGATATCGAAATCGAGATCTATTGAATTGTCTGAATATTGAGATGTTGTTTGGTTAGAGAAAGTCCCCCTTGTCGTATCGAGAACTTCTCGAAGGATTCCAGTCTGCAGTAAATTGGGGCAAGAAAGGACTCAGGCCACCCGAAATAGTGGTGTTCCCTGGGAGCGGGTTTATGGAATGTATCGACCACATGATTCTTGGTCATTCTGCACCTCGGGTTTCGGAGGACCTCTCACTCAATATGTCTTATTTGTCAACATCAGGCGGTGGAAACGGCTTGTGATGCTTTGGATTCCTTGCAGTGTACATTGCCTCGATTGGGTGGTATTTGATAAGCGACCGCATGCAATGTCGTAACCGTGTCTATCCTGACCAATGAATACTGTCGTGGGCAGTAGGGATGACAAGGCTGGTAGGAGAAAAATGGTGGCGGCAAATGCATTCGTCTGGACCGGATTGTTTAGCAGCAGGGTTGAGTTCGTAAAAATGCAACATTTCAATCGAGAGTTACAACCGGACCTGGCCGACGAATGGGGTTCGTTAACTTTGGCTTTTGCAAGGATTCGCGATGGTGATAGGGATTTACTGGTTGCGATTGGTCAGGGGCATCCCCTTTGCAGATCCTCAGTTGCGAGCTGGCCCAACGACGCTGGGCGGCTGGGGGCTGGCGGGGGGGATCTACCTGGATCTGTTTCGGACGCCTCCTCGCTCGGGCCTAGCGTCCGCCAGGGGATTTTTCTGTGGATTTGCCATGGAAGCTTCAGTACGTTCAAGAGCGATAAGCCTGCCGCAGCAATGCTTGATCCTCCCAGCGCGAGAGCAATTCGCGGGGAGGTGTAACAACAACTGCACGCCGTCCAGTAGCCAGAGTCCTCCGTTGGTGACAATCATTTTATCCGGTCGTCTTCCAGAACTTATCAACTTACCCTCCATTGTCCTGACCCGTTGATAAGCGGCTTGCATTTGACAGGAGCATCGCAAGATTTCGGATGCTACTTCATGCTTTCACGTTGCTTTCGTCGTAAGGGATCTCTCGCCGCCTGTCGGTTCAAGACGCTGGCCTCTCCCTCCAACAGACACCTATAAATCCTGTCCCCCGGTGACAACCTCCCCGTCGTCTATCTTTTCTTTGTCTCATTCGATTCCTTCTGGATATTCGACTCCTCTCAAATCCATCATGCCTGTGGATAATCCCGAGATTATTCTGACTAGCGGTCTTGAAGACCTCCAGGTCCGTCGTGAGTCTGTCACCAAGCCAAAGAGCATTGATGGAAAGATGGTTGAGACCGTTGCTCGCCGGGCGTCTGAATATGACAACACCCCCACACACGATGAGCTCCATGGTCCCAACGCTCTGCAACGAGTTCCTGCTCCGATCCCATTCAAGGTCTACACCGTCGCCTTCGTCGAGCTCTGCGAGCGATTCTCCTACTATGGAACCCAGGTGGTTTGTATGTCTTGGATTGGCTCGATCCTTTTCTTCCCTGCTCTAACGACGCGAACAGATTCCAACTTCGTCAACCATTCGCTCCCCCTTCCTGCTCCTGATGGCCCTCCGGGTTCCAATCACAACACTGGCGCCGGTGGCGGCAGTGCACAGGGTATTTCCGGAGCGCTGGGTGAAGGTCCCCAAATCGCCAACGGTATCAACACCTTCAACACCTTCTGGGTTTATTGCGTTCCTCTCCTCGGCGCCTACATGGCCGATGAGCACTGGGGACGATACAAGGCCATCTGTGTCTCTATTGCCATTGCCATTGTCGGCCACATTATCCTCGTCATTTCTTCCATTCCTCCCGTCATCACCAGCCATACTGCCTGTTATGCCGTATTCATGCTGGGTCTGATCATCATGGGTTTTGGTACTGGTGGTTTCAAACCCAACATCTCGCCTCTCATTGCCGAACAGATCGATGTCCCCTCCGCCTACGTCAAAACTCTACCTTCCGGCGAGAGAGTCATTGTCGACCCTATTATCACTCAATCCCGCATCTACCATTATTTCTACCTTTTCATCAACATCGGTGCCCTCGTCGGCCAAATTGGCATGGTTTACGCGTCAGTATTGCCTGTCCCGCCTTTTTAAGGGGGGGTTTTGAACAAAGTTTTACTAACTTTGACATAGTGAGAAATACGTTGGCTTCTGGCTATCCTTCCTCCTACCCACTTTGGCCTTCTGCACTACACCTTTCGTGATGTGGTGGGGCCGCAAGCGCTATCAGCAGCGTCCTCCCGCCGGTTCTGTCGTGACCAAGGCTTTTCGCTGTTTGTTCTATGGCATGAAGGGTCGCTGGTCTCTCAACCCGTACACCATGTGGAAACGTACCCATGACGGCTCTCTCTGGGAAGTAGTTAAGCCTTCCAACATTCAACCATCTCAGCGACCTAAGTGGATGACCTTTGATGACGCTTGGGTTGATGAAGTTCGCCGTGGTTTTGCGGCCTGCGCTGTCTTCTGCTGGTATCCTATTTACTGGCTGGCATATGGCCAGTTGACCAACAACTTCACAGCCCAAGCCGGTACTATGACCTTGAACGGTGTGCCCAACGATGTCGTCAATAACTTGGACCCATTTGCCTTGATCATCTTCATTCCTATTTGCGACTCGTTCCTCTACCCTGGTCTTCGAAGACTCGGCTTCAACTTCACCGCCATCAAAAAGATCACCGTTGGTTTCTGGACTGCCGCTGCCGCCATGGTCTGGGCCGCTGTCGTCCAATACTATATCTACAAGAAATCACCCTGCGGTTTCCAAGCCAACAACTGCTTCAATGAAGATGGAACTGTCAACCCTGCTCCTATCAGCGTTTGGGTTCAGACTGGTTGCTATGTTCTCATTGCATTGTCTGAGATTTTTGCTTCCATTACTTCCCTCGAGTATGCCTATTCCAAGGCACCAAAGAACATGCGATCTCTGGTTCAGTCTATTGCTCTCTTCACGAATGCCATCTCCGCCGCCATTGCTGAAGCATTGAACCGTCTCTCTGGTGACCCCTTACTGATCTGGAACTATGGTGTGTTCGCTGTGGTTTCCTTCTTGGGTGGCTGCTTCTTCATTCTTCAATTCTGGTCTCTTGACAAGCAAGAAGATCAGCTCAACTTGTTGCCTGAAGGTCATGTCGTTGCATTCAAAGACGAGGAGGTGTATTCCATTGGTGAGGAAACTGAACCAACCACCATCCGCGAGAAGCCTTAAAATGGAGATCACCTAGATACCCGGTACTGTTGACGTACAGATAGTTGAGAGAATGAAAAGTTGAAATCTTGGTCGCATTCAAAATTTCTCCCTTTTAAAATTGGCCGAGGCTCAATTTGCTATCTGATAAGATGCTTGCTATCTCCGAAATCGGATATAAGCGCATACTTCAAGAAACAACTCCCGCTTCAACAATGCAGGGGGTATTTTCAAAACCGGCCAAAAATGCAAGCACCACAAACCCCGACAAACGTTACCTATATCCCTAATTCTTCGCAGTGGGTGTTGAAGAATGCCGCCGAAGAAGCATATTTGATTCAAGCAGCTTGGCCACTCACTTGGAAATCTCAGACATGTGATGACAAAGACATCCCAGTCTTGTAAGTCCAAAGTTTGTCCCGCAAGGCTGTTCAAGGACAAAGAGCGCCGCAGACTAAGAAAAATTCTCAGTTATGTCCTTGATGGAAACGCATACTTCTTTAGTGCTGTGGAAGCTGCCCGTCGTTGTTCCATGGTTTCCACCAGCGCAAATGCTATTATCGTCGGAATTTCTTATCCACACTCCGAATTTGTGTTCCATTCTCGACGGAACTTTGACCTAACTCCGCCCTCTGCAACCTATACGCCTCCCCGGGATGCCGATGGAAAGGAACATCCAGCCGACCATGGAGGTGCCACTGCTTTTTTGGATTTCTTGATCAATACGGTCCGCACGTTCATCTTTTCCGACGCTTTTCCTCAACTACAGATTGGCAAAGAGGTATTGATCGGCCATTCGTATGGTGGACTTTGCACGTTGCATGCCTTGTTCACGTCGGTGACTCCCTTCCAGGTCTTTACGGCCATCAGCCCGTCGATATGGTGGAATGACAAGTTCATTTTGACCGAGCAAGAGGAATTTCTGAAGAAGGATATACCAGTGTCCAGTGGACAGATTGCGCCAAAGGCCACCGTCCTTTTCGCGTATGGGACATACGAGCAAGATCCATGCCGACGGTCGGACTGGGGTGAAGGCGAGTATCAAAAGCACCTTGAATTGGCTCGAGAGAGAAGCATGGGAAAGAATACCGAAGTGATGGCCGCATCTTTGAAAGGTTCAGGTAGGTTCGAGAATGTCGAACTGCGAGTATACCAACAGGAGGATCACTTGAGCGTGGCAGTCTGTGGAATCAATTGGGCCGTCTCCAGAATCTTGGATCCGGAAAGGCTTCCTACGCCGTCCAAGTCGCATGCTACTGTCGAATCTTAAGCCGGTCATTTGGACTTGGCTGTCTCCGGACTGAAAATGGCTGTTTCTAATGTCGGAACCTGGAAAATGTTGCCGTGGCACAATTCCAACCAAGATGGCAGGAATCCTTTGGGAGCAGGCTCTATCCGGACTGTCATTTCAGTCACTAATTCCACTCAGAGTTACCATTGTGTCGCGTCGATTAGGGTGCAACCTGGTTCTGCAAGGTCAAAGCAATGCGCGATGTTTTCGTCCCCGTCTTGGCTATTTATCAATATCAAACTGTTTCTTTTGGCAGCACTATTTTCAACTGTCCTCCCTTTGTCGCTGAAGAGAACTCGCAATGCTGCAAACGTCCCAGTGTTCAGGACCTGGATTTGCGCTTGATCCTCGATGGACAACAATGACCCGCATTCGGCCCAATATATATATAAATATTAGTAACTAGGAGGTACTGGATTCTCTGTAGGCAAAAGTTCAGCTGTTTCCTCCCTGTGAGACTTTTGAGAAGATCTCAACAACCTAGTCTTATCGTACTGGGCACTTTTTGATTCATTCCAACTGTCCCCCAGAAACTTTCACCGTGAGGGACTTTTTCAGCTGCTTCCCAGGAGGCACAGGGTTCGCAAAATCCACAGAGATGAGAAAATGTGAGTGAATGAAAGGCCTGAGCAAAAAGTTGACCATATTATTAATATTAAGTAATTCTAGTCTACTCCAAGGATTATGGTATGGTACTGTCTTTGATTTCTTCGTCTTTTGAACATTATTATACGTCTGCCCGTAGCTCAACGCGATCCGACCCAGGTTGCACAACAAGATTCGTCGCAAGTACTTTCACCGGCTTCGCGCTCACAAGGTAAACCAGCTTTTCAGTCCAGAAGTGCGAGACGATGGCTTGAAGAAGTGGAGCGCTTCCGTAGATAGTTCCGGCAATCGGAAACATCGCATAATCCAGAAGAGTTGTCAAGGAGAACCGACCACGATAAGAGAATTCATGAGCCATTTCCTCGTACAGCCCAGCCCTTTTCATCTCCTTTTCACGAGCTTGGATGCAGGCCTGATGGTATCGCTCGTAGAAAATCACAAAGTAAATTGTCATGAAAGCAAAGCTGACCCCGCGAAGATATCCAGTAAGATCCATGACCGCAGTCAGGATTCGGCACGAGGTAATGGGATATGGTAATGCCGTATACATTGCTGATGCGAGCAGAACAAAGAAAAGATGCAGAGGTAAGAAATGTGCTTCGAATAGTCGACTGAAGAGAACCAGGTTTCTGTAAGTGAATCGTTGCAAATTCGGTCCGTGCAGTGCGTACTGGCTGAGTTTCAAGCGCAATTCGACATGTCGAGGCCGACGTTGATTTCCAGATGAGCTCATTTCGCTTTCAATGGATTGATCCTCGGATCTGGCCGCCGCCGTTCGAATCTTGCACCATTGTCGAACAGCATATCCGGTGTCCAGGCAGCCCCACATATGTCGAAGAGCTTGACTGTATCTTGCACAATGATTTGCGATCCAGCCACGAATACCCGCTGTGGCCGTGGTGATGTTGCATTGGCTTGCCGGGCTGGGAATGGACACGATCTTGAGACGTCCATTGGTGGCGAAGTAACATTTCAGCATCATGTGCATATCTTCGCCAATCGCTTCGGAACCAGTATCCCATCCATCTGCAAGACATACCAAAGGAAGTGGCACGGTGTAAACGGCAGTGGGAATGGCCACCGTGGTTGGGCTCGAACTTTTGTTATAACATGACAATCCGGCACCGCACCACATCAAATCCGCGATTCGTACCAGTTGAGGAACAAGATGTGCGTTGCGATCGAAAATGATGGGTGGTATGTAGAGTGTCATATCGATCAACCCTCTTTCTCGTCGATTGCGAAGGTGATGCGTAAGGATGGTTTCGAAGTATTGGCTGAGCAAATGAGTATCACCTGGGAAAAATTGTCAGTTACAGAAACAAAACATTCCCCATTGGAGGGGGAAGGAAACCACTGACTGTCCATGACCGTAATGAGCACACCTGGCCAATCAGGATTGTTCACGTATTTCTGTTCAATGGCTTTAGCCGCCCAACTGACATTGCTGCTTTTGCCGGGTACTTCACCGGGAAGGTGCGCCGGATGCACGGTGAATTGGATCTCTCGGAAGCTGCCAGAGAACAATTGAATCAAATTCTGAGCAACATTGACTCCGTTCGGATCTCGTTCTTCCATGGCCAAAAATATCTGTCATGCAGGATTAGTCATCACCCTTGTCAAACCAAGGAAAAAAACCAGCGCAGGTTGAGGAAGGGAGGGGGAAGTTTTGAACTACATCATATGACGTTTTTGCCAACAGATGACTTGCGAGGACTCTCAAAGACGTCTCGAGTATCTCAATGTCCTCCTTGTAGCTTGGGACCACTATGGCCATGATCACGCAGCTAGATTGTTTCGAATCATCTTGTCCCGGTTGAGACGGAATATTTTCAGCCACGTTTAATGCTTCGCGGGAAAAGGTTGTCGGTCGGTTGTGGGTGATTCGAATCTGTTTCGTGGCTGTCCATGCTGAGGCAATAAGTCGAAGGGGAAAGATGAGGGCCAGGACATGAAGGAAGATGGTGTAGAAGATGAAAAGTGCTTGTGCGAAAACAGGTGCCGGCCCGCGTTTGAGAAAGGGAGGATAGTAGAAAGCGAGCCATTCAGTTTGCACAATTTTGAGTGCACACTCAAGTAAGATAAGAAGGCAGAACGTCGACAAGCCAGGAATACAGCGTAGTGACCACCTCAGAAATCCCATGCTGGGGAGTTCTTTGCAATTTTTGGATCAGGCGATGGGAAGAAGCAGCAGAGAAGGGGGGGTTTAAAAAAAGGGCAGAGAAGCGCGGTGTGACTTCGACAGCAACTTTCCCAGCGAAAAGACCCGACCAAGAAGGACAGCCAGCCCCCCTTTTCATCCGTCACAAGATTTGTCTGCAGATCATGACCGACAAGTTGTGATTCGCTGCCACATCTAATGAATTATTTTTTGCTTAGCGGCTTGATGAATGGTCCAGGTGATCAATGTGAAGGAGGGATTGGGGGGAGGGAAAGTTTGAATTTGTGTATACCATACAACGAGGCTCGTGGCCTGGCCCGTCAAACCTGCCTAACCAGCCAAGCGAACATATATCAGTTCTACCAACCAATCATATTCGCTCAGTTGTCCGTATGCTCCCCACGTGCACCATTTTGTGGACGCACCTGAAAAGGGAGGGGAGCGTTGGTTGATGAAAACCTGTTTGGACTAACTCAACTCCGATTCCATTCAGAGTCGCGGTTAGCCTTGAATTCGAGTCGTAAATTGCCAGAAATTCATCGAGGAAAACTTGGCAGCGATTTCCATTCGTTTGTGATCTGAAATATCTGAATCTGTCAGCAAAGTCATGGAAGGGGAAGAGCCAATGATATTTCTACATCTTCCGGATGAACGCGGGTAAGTTTGTTACCTTTATCGAGATGTATCTTTGACCAACAAAAGAAAAAGGTGTGCCTGCAAACTATAAGGTTTCCTCCAAGCTCCCCCTCCCATTTTCCCGAAACAATGGCGTGGTCGATTTGGCAAGTCTTCAGACCAAAGATAGTGCTTGGAAGCGGGGTCAGGGTCAGGCGGAGGCGCAATCTTTGGAATCTTGCTAAAGGGCCGCTTATTCTGATTCTTGTTACCTTCGCAGGCTTATGGTTATCTTTCCGTGTTCTTTGGAGAAGAGGAAGTGTTCCGGCCAATTTGTCAGTCTATCCCGATGTTCAGAGCATCAAAGACCATGTATTTGTCCCTTTCGATCCCCACCAACGGTTATTCAATCCTCCACTCAGTACCCGAGGCCGAAATATTATCGATAAAAGCCGCCGACGGATTAAGCTCATATCGGTAAATTGGTATGGAGCCAGCGACACTTTCATGGTACCGGGGGGGCTTTCCCTCCAAAATCGAAGCAACATAGCTCGGACCATTCGTGAGCTTGGCTTCAACAGTGTACGACTTCCCTATGCCGATGAGATTGTTCGCAAAAACCCCCTCATCGATCCGGTTCACTTGACGGCCAATGAGGATCTGATTGGAGGAAGAGCATTGGATATTTATGCCGCCGTCGTGCAGGCCTTGACAGAAGCCGGACTGGCCGTGATTGTGAACAACCATATCACCAAGGCAAGATGGTGTTGTGATGGCTATCCTTGTGACATGGGCTGGTCCAACAGCGACCTTGGTCCATTGTGTCCCGTGCGGCAGTCGGAAGAAGATTGGATTCAAAATTTGGAAACCATCATGCGACCTCACATCCACAATCCCGGTGTCGTGGGTGTTGACCTTCGAAATGAAGTTCGTGGACCTTCCGGACGGTATCTTTGGGACCGATGGGCCGCTGCCGCGGAGAAAGCTTCTGAAAGACTGCATCGACTTCAACCGGAGTGGTTGATGATTGTGGAGGGAGTGTCATCTGCCAACGACATTACTGGTGCAGAAGATCGACCGGTTCGCATTCGACACCCAGACAAATTGGTGTATTCAGCCCACATATATGGATGGTCAGGATGGGGAACATTGGTTCCATATTGGTATCGCACATATAAGTCTTTTGCCGAGGATATGGACAAGAATTGGGAATATTTGCGGAAGACCGATACCGCTCCAGTGTGGATTGGTGAGATTGGAGCACCAAATCAACCCGGCCGAAGAGACTATCATTATTGGAGAAATTTGATGCGATATTTACGCGAATCCGATGTTGATATTGCATATTGGGCATTGAATCCGCGCAAGCCGAAGAACAACCAGGCTGAATCATATGGCCTTTTGGAGGATGATTGGAAAACTCCTGTATATGATTATAGGTTGATGGATATATCGAAGCTGCGACCGAAGGAGACTTAAATATACTGGAGCAGGGAAGGGGGGATGATTAATAAATACGGTGAAAATCCAAAATATTTATCTCTCGCTTGAAAATGGGCTTGGGATGACATCAACAAGGAGATGATTTGATCGGATCCAGATTGAAATTGTTCCACGAAATAGAAATTTTGTTTCATTGCAGCAAAGCTCGGAAGCTTTCCGATTTTCAACCCACCGGATTACAAAACGATGATGCAAAGTTCCCCTATTTCCTTCCTGGTACGACCAATTGTTAAGAGGGCCTCCTGGTGGAATCAAAATTGATACGAAGGCAACACATGCTCCCTCACAGGCGATCAGAGATGGCCGCCCGTGACACGAATTTTTGTTTCCAGCATTTCTCAAATGAATGGAAAAAGTTTCAAGACGATACACCAATTGCGTGTACACCAGCCATTGCTACCGTCACATCTTGATCATTTGTTCCACCACTCACTCCGATGGCCCCAATAAAAAATCCATCGACAAAAATGGGTAGACCACCCCCAAATACGACAAGACCTCCATTTGTTTCTTCAAGGCCATAGAGTGGGGCGCCAGGTTGAGTTGAGTTGTACAAGCCATCGGTGGTGTATGCTCCATTAAATCCCGCAACCGTCTTTGCTTTCTTGGTCGCGATATCCGCACTGGCAGGGAATGCATTATCCATCTTCAAGAATGCGACCAGAGCACCAGATGGATCCACAACCGCAATGTTTTCGGGGACAGAGATGTTTACCGCCTTGCCAGCTGCTACGCTGATGACTTTTGTTGCTTGTGCTTGATCAATGAAGTGTCTTTGCGAGGGTGTTGATCCGAGAAAGTTTGTGGCAGTATTTTGGCCTAAAGCAAGAGCTGGAAGAATCAAGAGAGTGTTGAGGAAATGCATTTTGAGAGAAGCTTTTGATTTTTTGGGGGGGAGGGAAGGAGGTTTTCGAGGTGATGACAGAAAGTTTATTGATATCAAATGTTTCGAATTGCGGTCACAATGCAGTTTAAATATTCGAACAGGTTGAAAGGGGGGAAGGGAGGGCTTCTTTATACATTCCACTATAGGAACACTGCTTGGTGCGGCCTTTCTTTTCGGGTTAGTACGTACAGAAGGATTTGCACCACCGATTTAGATGTTGGGTCATCCCTGAAACATAATGCCAAAAGAAGATTACGTGCAAAGAAAAGGTTCGATCGTGCCTTGAAGATTTGTGGGATTGCCTGGCAAGTTTCAATGAATATTTGATTTCATAAAGTTCTGTGGGCCATAATCCAGAGTGTGAAATTTCCGACCCATAGGACTAGCCGGTTTTGGAACCATTGCACGAAGCATACAAGGATGCAAAGGCACTTTTGTATTCAGCCTCACAGGAGCAAAAATTCTAAATTAGCAAGTTGGAGGCCATCAATTTATGGTGCTCAGGATCTGGCTCGGAATTTTGACGATTTTTTGGAGCTATCACGAAAATATTTATTGGGGGAAAAGGGGCGAAGCTGGCAGAAGAAGGAAAGAAACCATCATTTAGCTACGAATCTGACATTTTGCCTATTAGATCCGAATAAAACTCCTTTTTCCTAGCTCGAATCCGTTTCCACATCTCCAGAGACCCCCTTTCCCCTTCCCCCCCCAAAAACCAAAAATGAAAACATCAACATTCAAAGTTTCAATGCAGCTATGATTGGGCCTCCAACACCACCTTGAACAATGGCAACTCTTTCAGAACCGTCATTCTTCATGTTTGGCAAGGGCACGGACGTAATTCCACCCCTCCACTCCCCGATCCTCATCAATCCCTTCACAACATTGCGATGTGGAACCTTCTTTCCCTTGTTTGGTCCTTTCCCAACTTTGACGGTTTGTAGCTGTGGATCATATTGGATAATGAAAACATCGTAGACCATGTCTGCCTCGGGCAATTCTGAAGCGAGTCTCAGCTCATTTCCGACTCGGTCGATCCCGAGAGCCCAAGTCATGCCGTTTCTCAGTTCCATTGCCTTCATGATGACTTGATTGACATCGTCTTTGGTCGCACCAATGCCATCTGAAACGCCGTCGACTATGATCTGTGGGGTGAAAAGACCATTGCGACCCCATTTGGTCACATACTGACGTTGTCTGGAATCCCATTGTGTTGACCCAAAGGTGTCATCCCATCCACTGGATGGATTCCAGTACGTGACATCGTAGGTGAGGAGGAGAAGATTTGGGTTGTTGGTCGCATCGTGAATGAGAGGAAGTGCAGGTGGGCATGACTTGCAGCCTTGGGATTGAAAGAGCTCGACGACGGACAGTGGCATGATGTCAACAAAGCACGCTTGTGTGTGCGTGTGACCTTGATCTAGCGACATCATACAAGCAAGTGGGGCTTTGCGGCGCTTGAAAAGATTGAGGAAAGCCGACATTTTGAGCGACGTTGAGTGTTGGCGACAAGTTTTCGAAGCCGGAGAGAGAGCGTGTGTATGTGGATTGACTGATGAGGAGCGAGGTCGGGGAGAAAGAGAGATGGAATGGTGGGAAACTTCGTTTTGGGCTGTGAACAAATTCAGGGGCTTTTATACGTCAGCAATTACCCAAGGCACGGCCGAAGACAAGCCAAGGTCGTGGGATGAAAGTGCGCAGATAGAGGACTTTAGAGTGCTGCGCTCAACCCATTGGAGGCAGTGAATTGGAGGTTCGAGCTCAGGTCAAGGCTGTTGGTTTCAGATCCTCTACGAGTGTTTGGGTAGAGCAGATGCGGGCAACCAATGGTCGTACAGTGATCCAGATGTAATCTGTGGGTTTGAGCCCGGCATTGAAGACGAAGATAGCATTTTGAGAGCATTGCCAAATCTGGAAATTTATATTGGTTGACGCTAAACTCATTCCCGCGAGAACCCGCGACGTGCATTGGTCCAAGTGGGACGAGCGAATTAAGGCCGCGCCGTTCCGGAAAAAGATGTCTCTGCCGATGGATCCCCACAGTATTTGTATTGTTGTAGCTGTCGGATTTGAGTTCGAAAAGTTGGTGGGGGAAAAAGGGGGAGGGCGGTGAATTCCAGTTCGTTTGTTCAGGATGATAGTGAACTGATGCACATGTTTCCGCAGGTCGATGGGGTGCAATATTTGCCGAGGGTCCTATCCTTTTGTTGCAGCTACGGATATTGTACTCTGGGCGTTTTCGTTTGACAGTTGAAAATCAGCGATTTTGTATAGGAGGAACATTACGATATTTAGCTGCAGGGAAAGGAAGATTCTAGCCTTGTCAATCTCTCGGGGCTCGTATAAGGCAGGATTATCGAAATTCGATCGTCACCCATCCCCATTTTCTGTTCTTATGATGAGATCATATACTGTATCCTCTGTGGTTCTTCTACGTCTCTGAGACAAAGCACAGTAAAGAGGTCCACAAGAGTATGTTGCAGTCAACCTTTGGCCCCATTTATATTCGAAATACGTATCCACTGAGAAAGAACGGGTTTGTGCAGTGGAAGACGCCCCATCCGAACCGGAACCGTCCAAAAAGAAAGATATCAAAGTCCAATATCTGGGGACATCGACCTTGATGTTCTGCTGGACCATGAGCTCAAACAGACAGATGCTTCCAAGAGAAATATCGAAGAGGTGGAGCATCTGGCATACAAGAATTGTATTTCCAACCTGAAGAAGAAGTCAAAAAATGCCGCCTCTTTCTAGACGGTCCCGACGACATCTCCGTACTACGTGGGCGGCGGACTATTGGTCACAACTACATGGTCTCATTTGTAGACCTTGTTTCGCATTTCAAAACTCTATGCGCCGTGGACGAATTGATCCGCTTCGCAACGCGTGGCCAGCGCAATATCTGGGTGTCCGTGTCGTCGATGTCTTCTCCCTCAAGCCCAAGGGGACTGGTACATCTTCAGACGACGAAATGTCATGGTCTGGCGAGATACATACTACAGGCCAAGAGGCTACGAGTAATTATCGGATGCACAGGATCGATTCGGGAAACTCGCCGGCTCTTTTTCTTCAGTGCTGGAACGGTCCGTGGGATCCCATATACGAATCTTTCGTTTAAGGTATGTCGACATTTACTACTGCATGGATATGGTTGACATCCTCTGCAAACGACATCGCTTCGAATGCGCTCAATCCCGCACATACTAAGCTTCTGCCTGACTGTTCTGGGACCTCCGTGCCGTATCCAAAATCCAATCGATTGTCTGCTGCTTCGCCGTCAAGTTTGGGCAATGATCCGCGCTAATTCTGGTGACGTGAACCTTTGTCCCGCTCTCCTTCTCTATCATATCGATTTCCGCTTGCTGAATCTTTGTAGGGATGCATATATCCTCCTCGCAGAATAGATATGAGACCGGAATGTGCTTATATCCAGCATACGTCAACTTATCGGTGAAGCTGACGCTGGAATGCTTAGCGAATCCTTTCACCACAGCCTCGCTTTCTTCCAGCGGAATTTTCGGCATTATAATTGCTGCCGTCGCCGAAGGTGGGTCATGGTACATCCATCCATTCTCCTAAAGTCGGACGTTAACACAATGAGGACGACAGATACAGGCAGAGAGGAGAAAAGAGACAAAGGAGAGCGTACATCAACCTTCAGATCAACCTGGTGCTCCTGAGGCACATCTGCTATGATATCCACCGCCGATTGGCCCACACCAGGTACCAGCGCCGTCATATACGCAAGAGTTACTATGCCTCCTGCTTTCCCTTGCGTTTGCCGGCCCTTGACCGCCAGGCCCTCGGCGCCTTGGGTTACAGGGATTCCTCCGTAAGAGTGTCCTATGAGAATTATCTTCTTGCCTTCATCTGCCAGCTTCTCGGCTTCCTTGGCCACAAAGGCGGCATCGTCGTACATGGAAGGCGGTGCTCCTTCTCTTCCATGCCCGGCGCTGATTCCCACGCTAGGAAGATGCAAAACTCGAATTTCATAACCGCCTGCCCTCACAGCATCCACGACCGGGTCATAGGGGTCTGGAAGTGAAAAAGAACCCGGAATGAGCAGAATCGTTGGCTTGGACATCCTGAGGGCCAGCAGCCGTGTGACAGCGCACGCTTTAGGTAAAGGGTAAGCAGGTGTGCCTCGCTTTCCCACTGTGATGCACGTGACAGGTAGTGCGGCCCGGTGTGATTGGTGGGCACGCCAAGGGTTATATATCTCCAAGGTCCGGCAAACTGGTTAGAATTCAACCTTTTTGTCACAACGGATTCCCAACTGTATCCTCGTGTGGTAGGAACATAACGGTGCCACCAGTTGCACATACTTATATCCCAGCGGCTCCCGAATGCGGACTGGACAGCTTATTTTCTGACTGTCAGAAATAGGGAGCCATTGTGACAGTATTCGTCCGCCCTTTTTTTTAGGCCGGCCGAGCTTTTCGTCCGCTTTTTGGGCCCGGCCGCTCTTTTCGTCCGTTGGCTGGGTTGCGGGGATTGACCACTTTTCCATGATGGCCGGAACGCATTCCAGCATCCACAAACAAGAGTACATCATACTGTAGCTCGACTGAGAATTGATAGATGGAATGACCGATCCCCACGTGCTATCCTCGACGCCATTATTACCTTCATAGAAATGTATTTGATCCTCTCGTCAATCTTGCTGACCATATGTCCAACCTCTGCGGAATTTGCTATATTTTTGGCTCTTAAATGGACTGGCCCTGCCATGTTGCAGGTATATATTGGATGGGCCGGCAGCGTATTCGGGCTGTGATGTGTGGCGATGCCAAGGCTTGTAAAGACCTTCGGAAGCGTTATACACTTTTCGAGGGTGTATAGTCTGGCTGTCTTCTGGACCCCTTCGAAATAGGACAAGTCCTCCATAAAATCACAGGGCCTATTACCAAGTAGTCACGTGATAGAGGAAGCAAACGGTGTATATGTTAGAGGGTGCCGGGAGAAGCACACGGACGCGCAGAGAGAGAGGGGGAGAGAGAGGAGTGACATGGAAGACAGACAATCGACATCAACAGAGACAGTAATAAACAATCGGCCACCAGTGTTATCATCTTACCTACCTACTTTTGAAGTGATCCTTGAGTGCACGCTCCCACTTCGACCTGTTGTGTGGTGTTTTGGTTGTTGGTTCGAGTCGAGACGGATGCTGGTTTGGCAGCCCCCATATCACCCCTATGAACGACAGGAAGTGGGATTGAAGAGTTGTGTCGAATCGAAGAAGCCAGACTAGAACAGGTAGCTACCATCTGGGTGTAGGGGAGCGCTCTGTCTGAGGTCGAAGATGTTTGTTGAGGTGGGTGGTTGAGCCAGAGCGACGACGCTCGGTGGCGACTTAGTCAGGGGAATTAGGTCGGCAAGATTGTTGTTGCGGTGGCCCTTGTCGGACTCGTCTATGGGAGATGTTTGAGTCGGCCGAGAGGGTCTCGTGCGCGGAAGTCCCGGACCCTGAGAATTTTCGATGAAAGTAGCCACCTCCTTGAGGCTCGGCGTAATATGGACACGCTTAAGAGAGCGGGCTCAGCCGAACAAAAGGAACAGTAGAACGATTGCAAGAGAGGGTACGTTATTAGCAGACATGTACCAAAAAAAAAAAAAAAAGGGAAGAAGAAGAATAGGAAGAACGAGGATAGGAGAAAAGAAGACGAGAAGGACAACAAAGGGGGGGGGGGGAGAGATCTCAAGAGAGGAGTACGGTCTCGGTCCCTAGAGGGTAGCCTATAGATCCTCGAGATATCGAGGAACGAAACGGCCAACGGTCCGATCCGTTAAAAGAGACTTCCTCTTTCAGCAAAGGGAACGGATAGTATCAGTCGAGAAGGAAAGGCACACATTGTCTGAGTATCTCTTGGCTCTGCTGTGGACGGAGTAACTCACCCTTTTTGATCCTTGTTATTCGGCTTGGTCGAGTAGCACTTTGTCGTCTTATTAGAAGTAAATCAGATTCGAGTCAGTCGCCGTCTTTCATTCCTATTCGATTAGGAGAGGGCGACAAGAAGCTGCCTTCGTATGCATCAACTAGTCGGGAAAGCGACAGTCGCAGGACAGACAGCATAAGGGTCCAGTCAACCTATCACATGAGGTTGCCCTACGGGCAGAAGATGCCACCGAATACTGTTGAAGCTCCCCTGTTTACAGGCTGAGATGTTACGGATTTTCTTCGAGTCTATGAGGATGTGTGAGGATGCCGAATTGACAGAAGTAATGAAGTGTCGCCGAGTAACTCAGTATTGCGCGAATGCTATCGGCAGGTATGTCCGATCGGTACCTGAATATGAGTTAGGAAGCTGGAATACGCTTAAGAAGTTCATGCTGAAGGAATGGAAGGGAGAACATGGTGAACAGAAAGTGCTTACTGTTGAGTTCCTCGAAAATTTAAGAGATGTCGACAGGAAGGAGAAAGATGACCTTCGACCATATTGCAGGCGGTTTAAAGATTTCGGGGTCTCACCAAATCGACTAACAAACTCCTTTCGAGCATCGGGACTTAGGCCGAAAAGCTCTCCCATTATCATAGAGACTTCTTGCTCCTGCAACCTATCGACCATCCTCGCCAGGGTTTCCTTTCTGATTTCTGGCAAATACTTTGGGTAAGGATTCCCCTGCGGGCTTTCCTGGAAGAGTCGCACATAGTTTCCAGATCTCATTGTGTCTTCGCGATAGGCAATTCTTGCGTCTCTTCGGCTTGCTTGTGCGACTGTCTCCTGCGACTCCTCGTCCCGTCGTCTCAGAAGTCTTCGAATTGCGTTCTGCGGAGTGAGTTTCATAAGCGTCTCGTCTTGCTGCAACGATCCCGTACTCGTACGGGTTACGTCCCTCGACTTCTTCTTCAGAGTCTTCGATATTGTCAGTTAATTGCTCGTACCTTATTCCGCGAACTCGTGAAGGCTCTTCCTGAGTAAGCCAATCATCCATAACTTCTTTATCGGGTCTGTCCCGTGGCCACCGGATTCTCATAGGATCTGCATTTCCTGCCCTTCCAAAGTACGTTATCCCGTTGGCGTCCACGCGGAAGGCACCTTTGTCCATATATCCTTGAAACAATCGACAATTCGGTTTGATATGTCCTTGTTCCCCATAGAAATAACGTTGCGCTGGAAGACGATTGCTTCTATCTCTGGTAAATCGAGTTTGGTAATTTCTCTCCTGGGGCAGGGAGTTACCGGTTGACCATTCTCCCACCTCTTTCCTCATAAAGTCGATAGCGAATTTAGCGAAGTCTTTCGCTAGATTATCAATCTCGGATTCTCTAGTCTTCTTTCCTTTCAGACCCGATGGAGCATTCTTTCCATCTACTGAAGCGACACCTTTCTTAACAGCTTCTTCCATTTCGATATGCGGACGGGTCTGTCGCGTCATCTTCGGAATGGTCAAACCTAAAGAGGGTTTCTCGAGCGTCGCATATCTTCAAAGTTTCCTTCCAAACTTTATCAAAGACCAGAGACTTCGACTCTAGTACATCCACTTGGCACCTCTGGGCCAACCTGCTTCGAACCTTTTCTAGCAGCTCCTGAAGAAACCACTTGGTTGCAATAAACTCATTTAGAACGCTCAGCTTGTCGAAATTATGAGCAAGACATTAGCAAAGATCCACCAGGGCCAAAAAGAGTGAACTCGATTCGAATCGATGAATCCAGAACTGGAGAGGGATATCGCGACATTATCTTATCAGAATCTTGTCCGATGATTCCAGTTAAGACGCAGTTTCGAATGTGATCTTAAGGAGGCCGCAGAGAAGTTAGATCTACCAATTATCTCGAGTGTGAGAAGCGGAATCCTAGGATATGACGGAAATCCGACGAGGGTGACTAGCATTGTTGAGAATCTCGAGATCGATGTCCTTGGGGCGGTGGTCATGTTCATGTGGTTCGCATGGAAGATCCTGAGTATCATATAATCCTCGGTAATCCTTACCAGAAGGCAGGGAGAGTGGAAATGACGCGGGACACTGATGGTGACTGCTGGATAACGATTCATGACCAAAGAACCAGCCAAAAGGTTGCTGTCAAAGCCGTTGACACATCGAGCAAGCCAGCTTTGACCAACTCGTCCAGTGTAGATGATTTAAACTGGCCCGTGGATTGACTTCAAGGCCTAGGTTCGCGGATGAAAGAGGCCCAATCAACTGGGAGGAGAAGTTGGTATGGAGCTCAAGAGGAGTTGGACAAGAAAAAGGGGAGATAAAGAGTTTCGAGCCACAGGTTGATCGCAACCCCGGGTTGCGATTAACTGACCAGAGAAAGAAGGTTAGAATGAGGTTGCAGGATTCTGGAGTTTGGCGTTTGGCGTATGTCGAAAAGGTGTGATGACTGGTCGATGCAACAGGAATGGGAACTGCAAAAGTTGTGGAAGAAGAGATTGAAGACAAGACAGCCTGCTTTTAAGGTATACACAATGTATAAGAGAAAAGCTGATAAGGTAAGACCGTCGATGATGTAAGACTGCCGGTAGTGGCCCTGGAGGACTCGAGGATTGGAGGGAGAGAGCCATTGAGCAAGGGAAGAAAAGAGGTTTGTATGACGGCGAATGGAAGTACAAATAACGGCTACTTCCAAGGTTTTCAGAAATTCCTTGAGGACTGAGACTAACCCCTGAACGAGAGAAGTTGTTAATCGGTGCGGAACTAGCACTTGAAGAGAGGGATGTGTTGATGGAATGTCTGTATAACAGGGAGGGCGTTCTTTCCTGGGAATTCAACGAGATTGGAAGAGTTAAAGACGAGGTTGCTCCGCCGCAGGAGATCCGAGTGATTGACCATAAAGTATGGCAAGCTCCGAGCTTTCCAATACCAAAGGGGCTCCATGCTGAGATTACCGAAATGTGATCTATGAGCCGTGGCCACGGGCCCTATAGAAACCGTTGGTTTGCGGAAAATACCGGATTGTGAATGCGCAATGAATATCAACAAGGTCACAGTCCGAGATGGCACACTACCGCCGGTAGCAGACGAGTTCGCAGAGGATTTCACCGGAATGCACATGATCTCATTAGTTGATTGGCTCTCTGGATATGACCAAGTAGCCTTAGATATGAAGATTCGAGATTTAACAGGGTTTCAGCCGCCTCCGAAAGACAACTTTACCACAAAGGGCAACCAATTCGGTACAGTTTGTGTGCATGTCGTACAAGATACTCCAGGAAACATATTGCAAGAAGAGCGCGACCATTTTTAACAATATCGGAGTCAAAGAACCATGGGCCGACTATGGGCAAGACGAGATCGCTCCTGGAATCCGGAGATACGTGCTGGAACATATCATGAATATTGACTAAGTCCTTGTCGACGTCGAAAGAGCGGGCGCAACTATCTCGGGGGAGAAGTCACAGTTCTGCTGGGGTGGCATTAAAAATTGTGGGATATGTGTGTGATGCAAGAGGAAAAAACAGCCCCCTTTTTTTTTTTTCTCTCCAGGGGACCGTCAGACTATATACTTTCCTATCAGGGTCTTTACAAGCCTTGGCGTTGCCAAGGTTCGCAACAAGCCGAGGTAGCTTTAGGCTGATGGTAGGTGCGCAGCCAGCCTCACGCCATGAGATCCTTTGTAGAATTCTGGGCAACTTGTTCATTACGACACGCCATTGAGAGCTTGCATATCTGTTCGACAACATAACGCCGCCCTGCAGTCTATCGCTCGCTGGTCGAGTTATCCAATAGAAAATACCTCACCCCAGGTTGGGCCTCAATTCTAGTGAACATGAAGCTCCTGCGCCGAAGTCACAGATGATAAAACCCCCCAGCCTGATCACCTCTTCACGGCCTTCACCATGGGATTTGTTCTCTCTTGTTTTGCTCCCTGCTTCGGCTCCCGTTCAGGTGCTACTCAAACTCAGCCGCCCGAGTGTGTAGAAGCAAGGTCCGCAGACCGCGTTCAGAACTTACCTGGCGCGAATTATACGTTGCAGCCGTATCTACCTATGGTGAGTCCGATAATCTTCATAGCCCGCAACCCCAGTCGTTGCTATGTAATTCAGTGCTAAGTTTCCCCTGTTGCCCTAATAGTCTTCCAATGGCGAATATTCCATATTTCTCCAGGCCGACGGTTTTGGGAATAAAAAGGTGCTGGTGGAGGCATACCTTGACACACGTCTGAAGAAAAGCATCATATCCGAGAACAAGGCCCGGGAGACCAATGCAGACCCGATACCGCTGCCAGAACCAGTGTCTCTGGAGGATGATCAAGGTCGATGGTACACGTGTTCTTCCCAGATCATCGTCCGTTGGTACCTACCTGGCAAAAATACGCGCACCTTCGAAGAAACATTTTATGTATTTGCCGCGCACGGCGATGTTGACGTGGCGGTTCGTCTTCGTGGGGATATTGAACCGTTGGGTCAGCCTGCCGCCGTGCACGATGATGCTCAACCCCTGTTTACTCTTGCAAATGCGACACCAACAGAGCGTATGAAATATCCCGGCACCAATTGTTCTTGAAGCGAAGTCCAGACTTGCTAACGACATGAGAAACAGGAGAAAAGCAGGAGCAAAAGGCGCATGAGAAAAAGGAAAATGCAAAAACAGCGCGGAGGAAGAAAGATAGGATGGACGAGCTGTGGAAGAAATATAACGGCAATCGCGGCGGCGGCGCTGCTGGGAATGGTGGCCAGAGAACCAACAACGTCTCGCCTCGCTGAATACATCTGGGATTACCATCATGATGAATTCATGCTTGCTGACTGCGGCTTCGGAGTAGACACAGTCGTTTGCCGTGCTTGTGATCCTTGTGGAGTCAAAAGGGTCGTCGCTTTTGATATGTGTACACGAGCCTTTTGCTGTACTCTCAACTGTCCGGGTATTGATTCTTGAATTCTCTCTGATTGCACGATCTGCTTGCTGTGCGGAGACTGGACGATTAGCACAAACGGTAACTTATTCGCATTCGTAGGAAAGACCTTTCCGGAAAGGTGTTGGGCCGGGGGTACTCACGGTGGCTGTCGAGTTGCTAACCGGTGAGGAACTCATGAGGCGCCTTGTTTCGGTGCATGGGCTGGGACGCAGCCCAGGGGTTGCCAATGGTAAAACGCGCAAAGAAAATAAATGATTGAAGATCCGGCCTGTTTAGACATCTGCTCAAGCATAAGAGAACACCCCTACACATGATGATTTGGCGAATCTCGAAGCAGGTCTATATGCCAAGAGTTGTGTCGTGAAAACCTGCTATATCGGCCCCTCTGACCAGAAAAGCATAATGGACGTTTAGAAAGATTGCATAAATTGATGGAAGAAGTCGCGGGAGACAAAACGATGTCGAACTCGTGGTGAGGAAAAGATGTAAGGACGCAGAAATAGCAAACCGTTTTAAGGACGGTGGACGATTTTTCTCACACCGTCCACACGTTCAATCTCAACGTTCAACCTTTCCCGGACAATGTCAGAAATCGATATCCAACTATGCTGATTGGTTAATAGAACGCCCAGCGTCAAGGTCTATTGTGCACATTGCCAACGCTTCCCGAACCGACTCTGTCCTGGGGCGAACACATTATGAAATAGGTATAGTTGACGCCTTTTCATCATCGGCACGGACCACTTTAAAGGGCCTTTTGGTCAAAGTTCCCAGTATATGTTCGGTGTCGTGGGTGCCCTTCTGTCGCATGCAGCATTCGTCTTCCCTCGCCCGGGGTTCTGTTTGGCGGCATGGGACAACTTGATGAAGCACCTTGTCATGATAACTTTACACATGGAGAAAAAGACAGCAAGGCCGATCCCCGTGCCCTGCTAGACTGCTCAGCCTTCTATGACCTGCGGCGGATTTCTCATATCTCTTGCGACTCATCATAAGCTGTGCTTCTCTGTCATGGATATTGGCCACGCTGGAGAAGCGTAAGCCTTTGCAAGGCAGAAATTATTCAAGTGGAGAGGCAGAGTATTCTCGAGGAAAGTCAGACGAGGCTCACTGGGCTGGGGCTTGAGGCTCAAGTCGCAACGAGGTTGGCTAACTACTAACCGGCCCCGCTGATGGCAAAAGACCTTGTTGGCCTTGGACAAGAAACCTACTGTAGCTACACCGCTCTACTGTATCCCCTGACGGGAAATTCTGGCCGATTGAATGGCCGGTCAACTTGGAGAACGGGCCCAAAATTGGTTCCCGCCCTTTTCTGAATCTCTTGAGTCAGCACACTCAATAAGAAGCAAGGGACGAATCGGCAGAATTGATGCGTCACAGTGAACTGCCCGGAGTGCATTGTCGGGAGATGTGTATGGGTACGACGATAGACCTAGGTAGGGAAGAACTTTCTCTTTGCCTAATCGTAGATTCTCGCAGGGTAAATACTTGTGGATCAGGATTGATATCGTGATTTGGAGGAAGTAGTTCCGACTCGCTGCAGTGTTCTTGAAAAGTTGGCATGCTCGGTCATAAATAGTACACGAGCCTATGCCTCGGATGCTTCTGAGTATGGTGAGAAGATCTTTCTCGATACGATGGGAATGCTGATGGTTGAATTGATGGTCTTTAAGGATTTTGTTTGGTTCTATAGTGATACCGCCCTCTCCTCTTGTCGTGATACAATCTCAAAGCACCTGGACGCCAGCAACCGTCTCCCCATGCGCCAATAATACGACCAGCACTCACGAAAGACCTTTTCTCGACCAAAAGCCAGGGACAAACACCCGAGTCCTCCCGCTCCAAAGCAGGACTGGTGACAACCTTTCGCCAGTGCCAGAAGTAAGAGTCATGTTCGTATATGGACATCGTAACATGCTGGTCGTCTCTTGATTTATACATGTCCGTACCACCAATCCCGGAAGCCTGCATTCGCGGGAACGCGTTGTCCCATTGTTGTTGATAGTTTTCCGGTCCGCCGGCGTCTTTGTTGAACAGCCATCTATCCCTTCATTCCGAGAACGCCACATCATTGTGCCTCAATGCCAGTCGCAGCTGTAGCAGAGGTCTTTGATGAGTCCTGCCTGTCCGAAAATGTATGCCGCTCGACTGACTCTGGGAGTGACCACGCAGACGAAATCATGCATTGCTCGAGGTTGAATTTTCAGGACCCTCGTAGGCCTCGAACCGTCGCAATAAACTGTCGATTCCACCGAAATTCCGTGATATGCGCTCGATTCTACCCAGGATATCCGGTGGCTGTGCTACATCCTCAAGTCCGATGATTTGTAACAGCTCCCGTATGCCCTCTCTTCCAAGAACATCCACCAGCTCTGATATGCCCTCACGTCCAATCAGAAATTCAAACGGCGCTGGATTGCCAGGAGCCTGTGCCGGCAGGATATAAAAGGTCGACATTGGCCACTCGTATTTGTCGCTCAATCCATCTCTCATCCAATGCAATTTGATGTATCTTCGCGCCCACGTCAGCTGCCCATTTGGAAGTCGGAATGGCAGCGCTTCCTTCAACAGCTGTGGCTCAACTCCCAAGGTGGCACATGCTTTTTCCGTAATCTCCTCAATGACCAAATTCTTGTCAGCCCCAGTGTCGACTTTAAGCCCGAAGAGTTTCTCCTTTGTTCCAGCCAGACCTTTAACCCAGATATTTGTGTCAAGTAACTTTTCGAGTATTCTATATGACTTACTCTTATGCGAAGGCTTGTCACCGGTGTCTGTAGAAATAGTCTCAAGCCCGGAGCTACCGTCACACGTCAAAGGGTCTTCGGGCTGAGTCCTGATAGGTTCGTCTAGACATTTTCGAAAAAATGTGAAGCGGCGCTGTTAGATGTGAGTAAAGGCTGACGAGATTTGAGACTTGCAAACCTTCTGATGGTGTGGTGCATGTTTTCTCGGGTACGCTATCACGACTTTCAAGATCCTCTTCAGGGTACCCCTGAGCTTTGACCACCTTCTTTCTTTGTCATGTGAAGTTTTCAAATAGCCCTCCTTCATCATCTGTGCGCCTGAATCTATAGATTGTGCCATAGGGGTCGATGGGTCGAAACTGGTAGGTGCTAGTGGTACTATACTGGGGAGCGACAAGGTGCGTTGGGGTTAAAGAACGGTGTGCGAGTGATTTGCTTCCATCAACAGGCCATGGTGCATTTTTAGTCGTACCGTTGGACGCGGACGCGGTCGTGCAGTTGGTCGATGCTGCTGGAGAGTACGGCGATGGTGGAGGGAGGAATGTCTGCTTGGAGGTGACGGACGGCGCGTCTGATGCAGGGTGGTCGTGCTGAAAATGACGGAGGCACTGCAACGCTAGGTTAATTTGCAGTCTCCCGGGGAGACTGAGCCTGAGGGATCATATGATCGACGAAGACGTTGAAAGGGTACAAATATAATGACGTTTAGAAAGATTGGAAGAAGAGGTCGTGGGTGATTATTCTGTTGGTGGATTAGAACGCTGTAATAGAGTTGAGTGAGTAGGATACTATAGTTTCGTTGTTCTTCTAGCCCACTTTACTGCCGGCTGTATCGCGCATTCGAGAACCACCTACCTACCATCTTACCACCAGCGAGCGAACATCGAACATTGCGACATATGCCATTGCTGTTATAATGTCAGGTCCGCTGGTTTCACAAACACAGAAACCCAAATCTCGAGTCTCCAGAGATGATGGTAAATGCAGGTTGGGTCACCGATAGTTGTGGCGCCTCAGGCACAGCCGGCTGGCCACCACTCCGGCTATCCCATGCCAGGTTCAGCCACTCGCGTGGAGATACGCGGCATAGCTCACCAGCTGGGGGATGGTGGGTGGACAAGGTACGTTGATTTGTCGTCTTCGTGAACTAGGAAGTTCTCCCACGTTCAGTTTACGTGTACCGAGCATCATCCTACCGATGTGCCTGTCGTATCTTTTGTCAAATCAGCGAGACTCACGACGGCGCCCACGCTTTCCAGTTGCCTCCGGCGCCAGCCTGATGATGTGAATTGCTGTTCAGCGCTCTTCATGTGAGCCGTGCTTGCCTGGATGAGCAGAGAATCGTCAAATCGGCTACACCTACCTGCAGCCCAAACGTCCCTAGGCTGACCTCTGGAATACCCCGGACGATAGTGAAGTGAGCTTTGCCCGGCCGAATCGACAAGAGATGGATTCTTTGAGGTGTTCGAGCCCGCTCCGATTCTGTCCTCAACCTGACGATGTCAAGAGACTTTCGAAGTCCTGAATATGGCCAATGCCACGGCAAGAGTTGAGGACGACTTCACAGTCGAGCACGACAAGGGTTACGACTCCCTTGCTCGGCTCATGAGAGATTATCCCGAGACGACAATCTTCAGGCAGTTCAAAGCCTTGTGTGCGAAAATGCTCGTGTATCGTCAGGCTGACCTCCTCTACGACGAAGAAGAGCTTGAACTGGTGTCTCGGTGGAACGAGGACGACCCTGAAAAGAAGTGGTTCAACCACTCGTGGAAAGAAATACTCGACAATCCCGACGCAGCGGTGCTTCGAGACAAGGTGAACCATGTCCAGGAAAAACTCAAGTCATACTGCAAGGGTAATCTTTCTGTCCTTTCGAACGAGGCTGACCATCCCAGATGAAATGCTGGTGTTAACAGCAGAAGTCGAAAAGCTGCCAGGACCGAACAGTCTCAGTTTCACATTTCTGCAGGAGTGGGTGAAGCATCGAGACCGTGGAGCCGACTTCCTTCTCGACATCGAAGCTCAGGCGTGGGATTCTTGCCAAAGAGATGATTATGTCGTCTTGTCTCCTACGACTTCTCATGACCGCCTTGCCATAGCTTTAGATGCTTTAATTGTGCCCCTATACCACCGATACATTGGCACTCGCCGGCCGCCGACCGCTCACAAGACACACGGGAGAGTTTGGGATTATAGGTTCGACCGCTTCATCCTGTTGGGAAATATCTTGACCATTCTGCTTGCGACTGCGATCCCGGCAGGCTCAATTGTCGTCTTGTATGTTATAAAGAGCATGATCATCCGTCTCCTCATCATTGCCATCTTTTGTCTCGTGTTTGCATGCACCATGACGTTCATGGTAGGAGCTAAGAGGGTCAATGTCTTCTCTGCCACGGCAGCTTTCGCAGCGGTACAAGCAGTCTTCGTAGGAGGAACCACATTGGTACAGATGGGCTGATATTGACCATACCGATACCTCAGGATTAGTGGGGTTGAGCTCTGGGTGGTTACACAACACGGGGCGAGTTAAAGAAGACGTCGTTCGCTGAGATCATACCAAAAGAAAAGCAGAAGCTTTGACAGCTTGTTCGGCTGCGGAAGGTCCTTGCAGAGTCATCATTTCAACTTTCGAAAACCCTCATGTTATTGAAGGGAACAGCATCGTCAGAACTTTCGCGATCGTGTCACTAGCTTCCGGCAAGCTGCGTTCTTTGGAATTTGGAATTGTTAATTTCCGACGTACCCTTGCTCGACCATACCATCTACTATTTGACATGAGACAAATTCCGTGAGCAAATCTTCCTGCGCTCCTCCTTTGACGTCTCAGCCTTGTTTTATAGAAAATCTTCCTCGAACCTCATGCCATGCCCATGGTTGTAAAACCCACTTTCCTCGGTACTGTCCGATTCAGAAGGACTACTTTCCATGTTGTTAACTTGGGCGTAAATTTCAAAAATTGACCTGTCAAGTCCTGTTAAGCCAGAGTGTATCTAGTCACAGTTGCATGAGGTGAGGCCTCCCCTATCAGAGACTACCACACTATTGTCTCGACTTCCTAGAGTGTACATTGATTTGGACATTTTGGAGGCCTTTCAGGTCTGAACTTGTGGATGTCCAATCAAGTCAACGTCAACGTCCTGACATGATCATGATGCATGGGACAGCGGATGACACAACCAGGAATCTTTTGCGGGACAAGGTCCTATTTCTATTTGCCTCTAGGAGGTTTGATATCTGTATCCAAAGTTGGCCTCAAGCTTAGTTGAGAGTACTTGACACCTTCTTAAGAGAAACTGGGGTCGACGGTGACCTTGGCTGCTTGATCCGCTGCTTGCTCTGCTACTTCTTCTGGAACACTTCTGAACACGCTTCGACCATTTTAGTTAAGTCGTTTAGGTGGCAGCATAGGGGTAGGGGAACCGCCGAGTTCCTGGACGATGGTCTGAAACGGGTGCCCGGCTGAGGGGCAGGTATAGCCGATCGCTTGGGGGCCCCAGCTTAGGCCGTCTCTGTGGCTCAGCTAATACCTCAGCTAATGCTCAGGTTAAAGCGGCATTCGCGCAACCTCCGGGATCAAACCGTGTAGGGTTTTCGTTCGCGAGCAATCTAGATGGTACTCACCGCTTCGCTCACTCTATAGGCTATACCTTAAAAATTTGGCTTACTTCCCTTCCCTCCCCTTCTTGAATGCTCCCGAATCCTTCCTGAACCTCGTTGCTGCCAAATTCCAATCAATTCCTCAGCCCGAGTAGCCCTATTTTAGCGTCTCACTCAACATTCAACAATTGCACAAGACAATAAATACTTTCCCGAGCTTCGACCTGTGCAGACGTAGGATCAGAATCTACGTTGTCGCCTAATTAAAGTGCGACAGCAACCCTGTTAATTTGGTATTTTGCCGTACTAGGCATGAAAAGTAGTACGATGACTGCGCACACTCCGAGCGGAATGCTTGTATACCAGACATATTTGAGGGAATCCGCGTAGGCCCATCGCACACCCATTGTGGCCACCTCAAGAATCTTGGGCGTGATGCCAGGGACTGTTGCGACGGTCGTTGGATCGGTGAGCAAGACCGTGACAAATTGGGTCGCATCGGCCGGTGGCAAGCCGGCTGCCAAAGCATCCTCGGCCGTGTACTCGGGCAACTTTTCTTCGAGCTGGGCGGAGAAAACGTTGTAATAGATGGTATAACCAATCGAAGCCCCCACGGTGCGGATGGACGGCGACAGCGCTGTGACTGTGGCCAGGAGGGTATCAGGAGTGACCAGGATCGCAACCGTCGCAGTGGGAACAATCATGCC